CCTGGATGCCTCCAGTTGCCCCCAGGTGGTAATCTTCAGGAGTGCCCCAGGAGGTCAGCTGTTTTCCCAGAAGCCAGGATGGGCCTTATCTGTAGTTTCTGAAACAAAAGCTTTAACATATACATTACTTGCTAGGCTTATAACTTTTTACCTTAAACTAAAATTTTCCAACTCTTGAGTCCCCTATCAATATTTTATTCTCCGACCCTCTAAACTAAGCTGTCTACTCTTTGCCCCACCTCCCCCTCTCTCCCTTCACTATGCCATCTGCCATCCAGGACCTTACTTCTCTTTCCTTCTGATTCCTTCTTCTGCACAGCTTCCCCCAGATGATGCTACCCAACTCCAGCTGGAGACACTCAGCATCTTAGTTATAGCCATTGAATTAGCAGCCTCTCGGGGGTAAAACATTCCATAAAGCCAGTGTGAGGAAGAGCTCACATGATACCCAGCCCAGTGCTTTACAAATAGTATTATCCAGAGTCCTAGGCAAGGCACTGGATGGAGCTCCCTGTGACCCACCTCACTGTCAACAAAAGCGGCCCCCTTTCATCTGATTTGGTATAAAGTTCCATTTGAACAGAGTTCTACAGGTGAGAAAATTTCTATCCCATTGTAGGTCAATATTTTCATTGTACAGATGAGAAAATTAAGACTCAGAGAAGAAAATACATGCAGCCCTGGCTAGTGTGTGGCTCAGGGGATTGAGTGCCAGCCAGCCTGCGAACCAAAGGGTCATTGGTTCAATTCCCAGCCAGGACACATGCCTGGGTTGCAGACCAGGTCCCCAGTAGGGGCCACACAAGAGGCAACCACACATTGATGTTTCTCTCCCTCTCTTTCTCCTTCCCTTTCTTTCTCTCTGTAAAAATAAATAAGTAAAATCTTTAAAAAGTATAGTTAAAGAAAATACATGCATTTGAAGACACATGGCACTTTAGCAGCTCCCAGCCCAGAGCTCTATAGGAAACATCTTCTTTTTATAACTAGTCACTGTCTGACTTTCAGAGAGATCCACTTATGTGTTCCTACTACATAGAGCAAAATGAGCATATTTCCCACATGCTGTGAGAGAATGAAAGATATGATAAACTGAGTCATGTCATAAATCAGAAGTCACAAACTGGAGCACCACTAAGGGCATCTGTCTATCTGTCTTGCAAGTGTGTTTTGTTTATATATATATATACATTTCTGTTTCTCTTTCCCAGTCCACGGAGTGCCTGGTCCACAGAGGAAATCACAGACTGCCCCTCAGGAAAATGCACCAGCTGGGACATGTGACTTTCAGGGTTTCCATAGCAGGGGACAGGAGAGCTACAAGTTGGCAGTGGCTCAGCTGAGCTCACCTGGAAATGACACACAGCACTTCATTTGCAGAATTAGTCACATGGCCCCACAACCACAAGGGCTGGAGAATGTGAGCCATCACATAGTCACAGGGCCGGTCACTGTCTTTGACAATCCCCCAGCTTTAAACAGTGAAATATAGCCAATAAAAACCCAGGTGTCTGGCTTCTTCTGAAACATCGGAAGAGTGCCCCTCTAGAGAAGGGATGTGTTCTCCAACTCGTCGTGGATGCCACTGACCAGTGTCTCAGCTGGATCACCTCCCTGGCCCTGGAGACATTTATGTATTTTATTCTGACTATACATATACAACTCTGGAAAAGTTGACTTGTGGGTACTCATGGGGCTTTTTGTATTCGTCTAATAATTTAACAGCTGTTTATGAACCTCCTGCAATGTGCCAGTCTTGTGTTCGATGCTGGAAACAAGGCAGAAAAGCAGCATCCCTGAAGCACTGCACTCCTCTTCTCCCAAGGGGGTCAAAACAAGTGGGAACTGGGGACAGGAGCAGGGCATGGGAGGAGCAACTTCTGGAGAAGCTAATGTCAGGGCAGAGGACAGAAAGAAGGCTGGGTTCTCAGTAGACAACAGCACCATGAAAGCCCAAATGGAGGAAAAGCCACAGGGCCTTTTAGGGAAACTGGGAGCAGCAGCTCAGGAAGGCTGGAGCTCAGAGCAGCAAGTAGGGATGAGTGGGAGAGAAGCCCAGTAAAGAGGAAGGCAAGAGAAAAACGACCTCCTGTTCTGGGTAAATGCAGCCCTTCTGTATTGAGGTTGCCAAGCAAGATATCCTTATGCCATGTGCCCACAGAAACGACGTTGAGTGAGAACCCCAGACACCCAGCCTTGCACCCAGAATTAAACCAGCTTCTCTGTAGGAGGTATTTGAGGAAGAACCCAGAGGAGGAGCCTGGCAGGTCATGTTTTCCCCAGGAGAACTGTGGTGGGGAGGAAATGAAACCCTATTTCAAAATGGGCCTAGAAGAATTCAGCAGGGGTCCCTTCTTCAACCCCCATGGTGCCTCATAGGGGCAGAGCCTTGCGCTGGCTAAAGCTGGGCACCTTCCCTCTCTTTAGTGTGGGGGTGACTTTTCCTGCAAGTCCCCCCCCTATCCGCCACTGATGAAAGTAAACACTACCAAGGCATGATCTGCTTGGGGAGGAGAGGTGGCCAGTTTCTCCGAGGAAAAAGGCCTTGAGCCCCTTCCTCCAGGGGCTTTTATTGAGTTGTGATACACAGGAATACAGGGCAGTAAGGATCAAACAGTAGATAACATTACAAAGAAATCTGAGGGCTTAGTGTGAGTCAGTGTCTGTCAGGAAAGGGGGTTGCAGAACTTTAGGGAGACATACTCATGTCCTCTTGAACCCTTAACATACGAATGAAAACACTCTTAGCAGAGCAGATTTCACAGGTTTATCAGGAAGTCTTCATGATGCCAGATTTTTCCCCAGGACACCCTCTGGCAAGGCAAGGAGCTGCACTTCTCCCCATCAGGTATTCAGGCTTAAGAGGATTAGAGCCAGGAAGTATGTCTCCCAGAGGACATGGGGACTTGGGCTATGTCACATATCCTGGGGGTCCGAGTCCATTGCTCCCTCTTTGTTGCAGCCCCCCAAGTCCTTCCATGATGGCCTCCCAAGTGATGGAGTGTGGCTTAGGTTGCCTCCCACTGTGAGGGGTCTTACCTATCATTGACTTCTGACCAAGCTTTGGGGTCAGGGAGAGGAAACTGAGGCAGCGTTTGCTACCAGAGACAAGCTTTGTCTCCTGTGGCTCACATTCTGGAGGTCACTTGCTCATCCTCAGCCATGGAGGGTAGAGTTACAATTCCTGAAACCAGGCAGAACGGTCCACAACACTACAGGCAGAGATTTGCCTCACTCTAGACAAAGGTAGAGGGGGAGGTATTTATAGAATAATTCTGAGGTCACTGAGAAGCCCACCTCTCCCAAATAATTCCCCTTTTCCATACAAACCATGTGTCCCGTGCTTCCAGAATCAAGTGCTAATACCAATAGAGAAGAAGGCTCATGTTGGCTGTTAGTGGTGTCAAGCAAGCATGGGGGAGAGTGTGCTGGATCTGTCAGAGTCAGTACCCAAGGGAACAAAGCACTCTGCAGCGACAGGCTCCACTTCAAGGATGGTAATAGAACAACAGGTGGACCCACGGTAACATTTGCACACACAGGTCAAGAAGATGAGACTGAGCCAGGTTTGTATGAGCAGATGTAGGGATTTTATAATCACCTTGGTGTGAAACCAGACAGGCTGTGCACCCTGTCTGTGCCACCTCCTAGTATTTTCTAATCCCTTTGATTCCCAGTTGCTCCTTGAAAGAAGGGAGGTAGAGGCAGGGTCAAAACTGTAGAGACTGTGAAGGTATTGCTCACTGCCCAACACACAAAGGGCTTGATAAGAGAGTATCCTTGGCTGGAGTAATGTGGAAAGAGTTAGAGAAGTAAGAATCGGTGCAAAAGATGCCAACAAGATACAGAAAGCTCCAGTGAATTTATTCTTATCAGAGAAACCTGGGAGTGTTTGAGAAGCTCCACAAACCTTTCCAGATTGTGAATGGGAAGAGACATAGATAGTTTCCTGTGTGGATCCACTAATAATCCTGCAGGGCAGAGATTACCTGATTGTATAGATGAGAAAAGGAAGGTTCATAGGTGTTAAACTCAAAAATAGTCAGAAGGCTTTGCTAGAAAAAAGGATAAAGATTTACTCAAGGGTCTTAGACTTTGCAAATTGGAAACATAGTTAGGCAAAAGCCCAGAAGTGCTCCAAAAAAAAAAAGAAAGAAAAGTTAAAAGTTTTTATAGCAAAAGTACATTCTTAAAAATTATTAGTCATGCATTCTTAGCTCTAGGGTTGCTCTGGGAGAGTTATCAGTTAGATGGTAGATAGGGTGAAGGATGTCGGGTCATCGGGAACATGGGTGCAAGGAGATATGGTCATGTCCCTGTGGTCTAGATAACAGATGTCAGGTTGAAATATATGTGAGTCCTTCAGAGGGTAATTAGAAGGTTACCTAGAGGTCCAGTCCTGACTAGAAAGTTCCAAAAAGTTTAAGTTCCTGGGCTAGTTAGAAGAAGAATGGAGTCTTTTCTCATGCTTCAATCTTCATCATGTTAGCAATTTTCGCAGCTTAGTTAAAGTGATTCCATTTTATATATTCCCTATCTTCACTCTTTCCTCAGGGAAAGTCACTGTCCAAGATCAATATATTATAAAAAAGGGCTTAAGAGAACAGAATATGGGCTCTAATTGCTTATGTTCAAACAGTGGCTTTGCCTCTTACTGGGAATTTTGGGCAAAGTGGTTAAATTCTGTTCATGTTTTCTCATCCATAAAATGGTATTAGGATGATATTTACTTCATAATGTTGTATGGAGTAAACAAAATACAGTAAGCCCTCACTTAATGTTGGCAATAGGTTTTATGACTTTAAGTGAAATGACATCTAAAGAAACCAATTTCACAATAGGCTAAATGATATAAACAAGAGTTAAGTTCCTACAGCATCTTGTCAGTGTTGTAACACTGAATGAAACAATGTTATTTGAGGACCTGCTATAATTCACAGAAAATGCTCCACACAGTCTGTGGCAAGTAGTGAACATGATACCTATTAACCCATCACTAGGATAGCTGACCCAGGTGTGTTGACGCCAATGGCAGCCATGGGGCCACCCACCCGGGGCTCAGTGGAAATGGAAGAGGTAAGCCTCCTTTAGAGATCTGGAGGAGTAATTGCAACAGAAACCATTATTCAGGGTGTCCCAAGGAAGGGAAGGAAGCACTTGATCTCCATAGGTATTATGGAGAGGAGTTTTTGGATTAGGGCTGATAGGACTAGGAATGGCTGACTTGGCAGTTCTGATCTTGGCCCACCAGGGACCCCTTGGCTTGTGTGTGTATGTCACACACATGGAACTTCACTAAGTACTCTGGGCCTGATCCTTCAGCTGTGGTCATCTTCTGCCAGAGAGTAGGAGTGAGGTGGAGAATGAAGGATTGAGGAGGTGGGGAGGTATAAGGTGAGACCAGGCTGCTGGCCTCCACACCAGGGCTTTGGGTGCTGCACTAGCCAGTGCTCCTCCCACTCACCTGTTTGCTTGCCCTTCCTGGTCTTTCTGGCAGGTAACTTCCGAGTCTGCAGACAGGAGGAGATGAAGGAAGATTGTCCACACAGTTCTCAAGTGCCTATCAGTGACAGCAAATCCATCCTAAAGTAAGCCTTTGTGCTAGGAGGGCTACACACCTATGGTCTCCTTGTGCCAGCCCCTCGGCCCCACCCCACTCCATAGGCAGCCTTTGGGTGGAAGGATTCTGGGCCCTTTTCACAGATATGAGGTGTGCCTGCTCCAGGCACAGTGACGGGAGCACATTGTTGTTGTTTTCATTGTCGTCTCTGAAGTCTATCTCTTCGGAAATCAAGGATCTCTTCAGGGTGTGGGTTTGACCTCTTCCCCTCTGGTCCACAAAAGCAGAATAGTGTGACAATACCCAATGTGATTCTGTAGAAATGGTATTTACTTAAAAAGTACAGCAATACTGAAAAACAAACAAAAATAACTGGAGCAATACTAACACTCTTACTATGTGTTAAACAGCTAAAGAAAAAAACCCTCAAAATGAGTTTTGAGTTTTTACTGATGAAGTATATGTTATTAACATAGTAATTTTTAACTTTGCTTACTCTGTTTTAACTCTATCTCATAAAAATGTTTAGGATACTTTTAAAAATTCATTTAAAAAAGTATAGTTGTCATTTTATCTTGCTTTTTGAGTTCTGAATGTAAATATTTTCTAATTTGGGACCCCCTATCTGCCATCCTGAGGACAAGCCACCTGCTTGATGCGGACTGGTTCCCCGGAGCCCTGCACCCTGGGGTCCTCCTATTAGAGACCCTAAGGAAACAGATGGCATTCCATTGTGTAACATTTCACAATGCTACCATACCATCATTTTTCTTATTTAAATTTTATAAGAACGACATTAACCACCATTTTGGGAAAAGCCACAGTCACGACAGCATGATTGATTTCATGTATGTGCATCCTAACTGCTTTGTTTCAGCATGCACATACTTCACGCACAGTGAACATGCAACACTGAGTCCTGCTTTGTTGCTGCCATTATAAATCCCTTCCCCTGTAAGTTATCATCACCCCCACATTACAGAGTGGATGTTGCTCACCCACAGTTTGGGGTTGTTCCATCATGGGTGAAGGCCACCACTTGCTACCAGAGAAAGTTCTAGAGCTACGCTATCTAGCAAGGGAGCCACCAGCTAGATGTGGCTACTGTGAATGTGATCTGTGGCTGGAGAAGTGTCATCTGTATAAAACATGCTCCAGGGGGAAAACACTTCTTACAAAATAAAATAATAAGCAAGATCTCATTAATATTTTGTATAGATTGCATCTTGACATGACAATATTTTAGATATATTGGGTTCAATAACATGTGTTATTAAAACTAATTTCACCTGTTTAATTTTCCTTTGTATTATGGCTACTGAAGATTTAAAATTATATCTGTGACTTGCATTTTAAGTCTACTTGTTGGTGCTGCCCAGCGTGGATACAGGCAACTGACATTGTCTTTTCTCTGCCACACCCCAGCCAAGGCACAAATGTGACTTTGCCTTTTATTCTGAGGAGAAAGCATTTGGGCAGAGTGGCCTCCCTAGGGCCTCTGGGGTCTTACGCACCACTGTCATCTTCATCCCTTGATCATCCCTCCAGGAAGTTGGGATGGGAAAGAGACAGGCTGCCCTGATGGCACCACCACAAGCAGCCATACCAGGCCCTGGTAGGAAATACTGATAATAGGGGGGAAAGCAGGAGGCTTTAAAGGGTCAGTAATCCAAGCCCCAGAGATTTATTTGAGGAAGTGACTCATAAGTAAAATACAAGGAGTCTGTCAGGAAGTTTTACCCACAATAATGAAAGTGTACAAATGCCCTAGGTACAATGATATGGTCCATCTGTGAGTTTCACTTCCCTCTAATTTCCATCCCTATGCCTTCCATGAGGGCTGATAAATAATATCCTCAAGAATACTGAAGAGCATGTGTCCAGTGGCAATCTGGTCTCTTAACCAATTATGTGTGACCACCATGACATGTACTATTATGCCTATTCTACAAATGAGGAAACTGAGGCCATTGCTGCTCAGATTTTGAAATTAACTATAAATGTCAGTTAAAAAAAAAAAAGCCTGGTCACACTCCAGAAGTATGTGTGTGACTTTCCTTTATTAGGTCAGAGCTCTTAACCCTGCTGAAAACCTACAACTGCTACCATGAGGGCAGAAGCTTTCAGCTGAGGCACCAAGAGGTAAGGCCAGTTTATTTTCTTTGTTCGTAAAGTCACCATTTACCCACCATTTGCAGAAAACAGTCCCAGTTTATATCTGTTATTCTAGGGTAATTATTAAAACCATCCCCTTTATTCTCAGAAGGGAGTATTTGGATAATGAATCATGAAGTCACCTGTCTTCTGAGTTGGGGACCAGGTGACCAGCATCCAGGAACTCTGTCAGGTCCCTAAAAGGGGTGCAGAAGGTCAGAATATCCCTGTGAGAATTCAGAGTGGGTGGAAATCATCTTGTGGGCCTTCTCCTTCTAGCTGGAACTTTTGTCTAGGTGAATGCCAGGACATTGGAGTTTGAAATCTTTAAGACCACCCATCCCACAGCACAAATAAGGGACACAGCATGGGGCTCTGGCATGCCCAAGTTCACAGGGCCATTGAGGTATGAAAGGAGTCTCTGTGCCTGTCGATTGTCAATCAGAATAAACATAAGAAGGAATGGAGAAGAAACGGAGGAGATCTCCCCAAAGGATGCTCACAGAGCCAGGCAGGTTCAAATGTGAAAGGCAGGGCTGGTATGCTGGTATAGCGAGTGGAAGACATGGGAGAGCATGGGTCCCACCTGCAGGCCACTGCTGCCCATCAGATCACACCCACTGATGCTGTTCAGGAATGTGGCCTAGCACACTGAGACCCCTTCTGATATTTAAAAAGAAGCTAGTTATCTGCAATTTCATGTGGAATTTTCCAAACCTCAAAACTCCATGTGGGATAAACAAAAGATGTCTGTAGGACTCCAGGGAATGGCCAGCAGGACCCAGGCTTGGAAGCCCCTCACTGAGCAAATCAAGTAGAGGCCTGGTCTTGCCACTGTCTAGAACCTTCAGACCTTTCACAAGGGAACCCAGATTAGGGAATTGGGCCCCCACCTTGGTCTAACTCAATTTATTTGTAAAGTCTTATTGTGGTAAAGTTTTATTTGGGTTGGGTTTCCAAGGTTGAGATCAGGTGAGTCCTAGACTTTCTCTGGCCTGTCAGCATCTGATGAGAGGTAGCAGCCTCTGAGTTCCCCTTGTGTCGTTGAACATGAGAATGGGCAGTTGAAGCCCTCATCAACCCATAGGCACCTCATCCAGATGGAAGCCACTGCTCATTAATCTTCATTTCCTGTAGCCAGACAGCCATACATCCTTCTGCAGTTCTCAGACTAGAGCAGAGGTGTCAAATGCATTTTCACCAGGGGCCACATCAGCCTTGCAGTTGCCTTCAAAGGGCCAGATGTAATTTTAAGACTATAAATGTAACTACTCCTTAACAGTTAAGGGAGAGCTCAGCAGAAACAAGGTGCTGGGCCGGATGAAACAAGGTAGAGGGTCAGATTTGGCCCTCAGGTTTTGTGTTTGCTACCTGTGGACTAGAGGATGAGCCCCAATGTCCGGGAAACTGTGGGCAACTGGGGGTGATCTGTCAATGTCACAAAGGACAGCCAACTGAAACCCACCTGCCAGACCGCATTGCTCGACCCCCTGAGATACCCAATCAGCCAAGCCAAACCACTGTCATATAGTTCAGGAGCCTGGACAAGAGGGAAGCCGCTGGCTTCTGGTCCAGGTCGTGCTGGGCTGTCTGTGATGACCTGATCGGTACAAACCTCACACTCCACCTCACCTGTATGCGTCCTGGGCCACCCCTGATAACTTGTTCCCTACTCTATTCTGCCAAGTGCTCCTGGACTAATGCTCTTCCCTCTGCAGAGCGGCCTCTCATACACAGCCCTACCTGACCAAGCTCCTTCCTGCTGCGGCAGGTCTCTGATCCCACTGCTCTGTTGTCTCTGGTTTCACTGCTTGTTTTCTTACTTTAGTGGAAGCCCCCAGAGTTTGGCCTGCCTGCCTGCCCACCTGCCTTCCTGGTTTTGAACCCCCTGTGCCAGGCATTGTGTGGTCCTGGGCATAGGAGTTGGATGGCTAGACTGTAGGCCTAGAGTGAGTTGGGCTGAATCCTGAGCTCCAGTATTCTAGGCAGTTATGACCTGTGCTGCTGAGTAAGGAACTGGGCCCGCCTGAGTTCTTGTGTTGATGTCATGGAGTTGGGTCTTCTGTCTGGGCCCTGTTCCTTGTCTCTGGGCTTTTCAGGTACTGATCTAAGATCATGGTGGCTCTTAACATGTGGTCCCCATACCTGTGGCTTTGGCATCACCTGGGAACTTGTTAGAACTGCAGTTCTTACCACCTTCCTTCCTCCAGGCCTGATGAGTGAGAAGCTCTTCATCCTCCCATCTCTGTTTTAAAGGACCTCCAGGGCATCTTGGAGGAAGGCAGGGACTTTTGAGATCTGCTGATATAAGAGCTTGGTCTTGGCACTTAGGATTCCCTACAACAGTCCCTTCTGTAGGAACAGCTGTGTGGAGAGCGGGCTGGGAAGATGGGGACCTGTGCCCTGTGTTTGTATGTGATGGGACAGTTCTCATAAAGAAGTGTGAGACCTCACAGTGGTAAGAGGTGCTCCTGACAGCCCCCAGCAAAGAAAGTTAACATCCTACAGCAAAGATTTTCATGTTCCCAACCTTGAAAAAGGTGTGAGGGTCCAACTTGGTCTCTCTGGAGCTAGAAAAGTTTCCCTTCAGGAAACTTCTGCAGCCTTAACAGCCAAGGGGTGCCAGCCTGAGGGAGTGTGCATCTTTGGGAGACAACAGCCACCAAAAAGTTAGGCTATAGGCATGGAGTTATGACACTGAAGCACATGAATGGTTCCTGGGATACCAAGTCCCCCCATAACCTACCCACAACTCAGTGTTCGGACCTGTGCATTTTCTCAGAATGCAGACGTAGGGCTTCTTGGGCCTTGCAGATCTCATGATTCCAGGCACTTGCTGCAGTGCCACCTCCAGCCAGCCTCTCCTTGGGCACAACAGGCCCTGAGGGCACAGCAGACAGGCACTGGGCACTTCACCTCCATTTCATTTTTTGTAATACAAGAGCTTTGCAACATAGGAGCCACCATTTTCCAGACAGAGATTGAGGCTTTTGGAGTTTGAGCCTATCAAGCAAGGTGACACAGCACTAAGTAAAAGGTGCAGGTGTGGCCTTGAGGCCTGAGTACAGATGTTTACAGAACAGCAACACCACCAGCAGTACTAAGTGGGACACCCCATCTAAGGTGCCCTCAGGCTGCCAAGAGGCTCAGTACCAGGTATGTTCTCACAGAGCCAAGTGGTGCCCTTGAAGAAGTCCCCTCCTCTTTTATCACTGGGTCTCCCCTGGAGCAACTGCAGCCTGAGCACTACAGTTTTGGGGGAACTACTTAGCCACTGTCCTATCCAGGGTCCATGGAACTTGGAGAGTTGAAGTGTGTCAGGGGCCAGGGGTCTTGATTGGGGCACATGTCCTGAAGAGCTGGGTGTAACAATTGCCCACTGAGGCGGCCGAGGCCCTAGCTTCCTCTATCGTGAACCTTGCCTTTGGAACAATGAAAAGTAGGAGCAATTCAGAGCAATCTGTGCCTTTATCTTTAAAGATAGCAAAGCATTTTAACCAGGCTAGTTGGTGTCTCAAGAGAAAAATGGACAGCCTGTGGGTAAATTCATTACTAATTGACCCTCATGTCCTGGTGTGTGCGGGTGTGACCCCTCTGAGAGCTGGCACCCTGACCCGACCTTGTGCTCAGCTCTCGGTGAGCTAAAAGCTCTTCCTGAGGGCCATGGTCAGGCACTGCACCCAGTCTTTACCCTCAACCGCAAGCACTTTGCAGAGCCTAAGAAAAGTAATGATGAGCTTTTGATAGACCACTGGCCCTGTGTGAGTGCTTGGCCCCGGACATATTCCCTGGGAACTCATAAGTCATCCTAGCCTGCCCCTGCCCCCAGGTAGGACATTGTGTCCTTCCCTCCAGTAGTGGTGGGAGGACTCACCCTGACCACAAGGACTTTCCTGAGGCTGTTCTGTCCTGAAAGTCAGGAGCTTCGGACACTGAATGCCAGAACCCCCTTCCCCAGCCCTGCATTCATTTTCTTTTCTGGTACCTTTTGAAGGTGCCATTAATTTCTCTTACACTGAGAGACATTTGTGGAAGATACCAGAACCCCAGGGTCTCCTCACCCCTAAATATAGCATTGTGGTCCCGGAGCTTGGGGAGAATTGGCCAGGTCAGCCTAATTCCCTCCCTCTGACTGCTTTCATGCTTTGCAAAGGGGCTGCAGTGAGGCCAAGCCCAGCGAGCCTCCATCCAGTCACCAGCCAAGCACCCACTCAGTAGGTCTGCCCTCCCCTTTTCCTTCTAAGGGCACTCTGGCTGAAGGCACTCCCACACAAATCTTGCCAGAGAAGTTTGAGCCAACCATTGACACAACTGATGCGACAGATGCAAACATTTGTATGCAGTGCTTATAACTCCATCTCTAAGTTAACCTGTCTAGTTTCCCCAACTCCTATAAAGTATAAAGAACAGGTGTTAGTGTCCCCATTTCAAAGATAAGGAAAACCAGACTCTGCCACTTCCTGATTTGAGGACCTTTAGCAGTGTCACCTCTCTAAGACTGTACTTACTCATCCATAAAACAGGGTTGTAAATACCTGCTTCACAGGGGTGTTGTGAGAAGACAATTCATGTGAAATCCCTTTAGGATATAAAGCCTCCTGCAGCTACTGTCACTACCTTTTACTGCACCTCTATCTCTAATCCATGCTGAGGTCTTGCAAATCCCAGGCTGAGGACTGTCCTAGAAGATACACAAAGCCTTTTTGTTTTATCTCAAATCAAGAAGGCAGTTGCTCTCTCTTACCTGTAACTGAGAGGACCTGATAAGCAAGGACAGTCCAAGGGAAGCTGCCAGGAAACTTGGCACATAGGGGTAGGGGTCCAGCAGTCACCCTGTGTCCAGGATCAGATTTTCATCAGGAGCCAGATGGTGAGGATGATGTGCCATGGTCCAGAGCAGAAGCCTCCCTGAGCTATCTGGCAACGTTTGAGGCCCTATAGCTTTTATACCTGTCCAATAGCCATCAGTTCCTGTCATGAGGGCCCAAAATAGCAGCATTCAGGAAGGCTCTCGGAGGCAAATGGCTTGGTATGCGTGGCCTGGCCCAGCTGCCAGCCTGGGACAAGTGTTTGTGCCTGTGAAAGACACTGAAAACGTGTACTCTGCACTCTGCAAGGCTGGGTTGCGGGGCAGGTTGGGTACAACTCCTGGGCACCTCAGGCCCAGACTGCTGTGAAGGGCAGTCCTAGGATTTGCTACCACCCCCTAGCAGCATTTCTCCAGTGTATTACACTAGCACCCTGCAACTCCAAGACACTCTAGCCTAGTGCTGGTTGTGGCAGAACCCAGAGCCTAAACCTATGAGGAAGCCTCCCCAGGCATGGCAATGCAGGGCTTAGCCTAGAGGTGGCTGAGGCCAGGATACTTAAGCCTGCTCCGAGGTGAGATGTGCCCACCGTGGTCTGGGACCAAGGACCGCGTGCGGCATCCTTGTTTTGCTACTTTCCAGATGTAGTGCTCTCAAATGAGAACTTCGTTTCCTTGTTCCCAAGTATCTAATCAGTGCTCCTGTGTACCAGTGACTGCTCTAGGCACACAGAACATGGCAGTGAGCGAAGTAACTCCATTCTAGAGCTTTCCTTCCAGTGAGGGAAACAATCACATCCTCAATATATAGATGCTGTCATTTCAGGTACTAATAGCAGCTACAAAGAAAAGTACAGATGCCTCCATGGCAGAGTGGTCAGGATTGTCTTCTCTAAGAAGGGACATTTAGTAGGGATCTGAATAGTTGGTAGCTGTGTGATCCCAGTGGAAGGAACAGCATGTACAAAGTCCCTGCAGAAGAAGTATGCTGGACACACTCAGGAGAGAAACAGCAAGGGACCCACATGACTGGCCCTTGTGGGAGGAAGTCATTGGACCTTGGGGTGGACCTTGTTTTCCCTTTGAGGGGGTGGAAAGACACTGCAGGGTTTTAGCAATGGTGCAGCAGTTCTGGCTACTGCATTGAAGGACTGACTCAGCTGCTGTGCTTGGGCCAATGGGGCAGCTAATGGGTATTCTGAGTGTGCGTGCCTATGTTGGACGTGGGGCAGGCCGTGTCTCAGGTAGTGAGACAAGCAACACAGGCCCTCAGAAAAGAGCCAGCTTAGAAATCTGGTGGTGGGTTCAGCCACTAATGGGAACAATGTGGAGAGAAGGGTGAGGCTGAGACCCAGCTCTAAGGAGCTGCCACCTCTGCTCCGGTAGGTATGGAATCTAGCACCTTCAACATGTTCCCAGTAGGACCTGGTGACCATGGGACCCTGACCCAGACACAGTTGTGGGTGGAGAGGCACCCTGTGTCACCTTGATTTTAACACACTGTGCTTGTCTAGACCACATTTCCTTCCCTGCATGGACATACAGTCATACAGCATTTGGGTTCCAGTGGAACACCTGACTCAGCCACTGTGTCCCCATTTGTTCCCTTGCCCAGGCGAGGACCTACTAGTGGAAGAATATGCTTCAGGCTTCATTTGGTTGGTCCTGTGGACTTGTGCGTTGGAGTATGTAGAAGTTTATGGGTTTCCACCAGGGCAGGAGCCCAAGTAGGAGCTGGTGTGTTTAGGGGCTTGAGTATCCAGGGCATCCCATGTCCAGAGGGCTAGGTCCTAAAGGGCTGAGGGAGGGTAGGCAGTGACTCCTGAGAATGTTTATTCTGGGGAAGGTGACTGACCTGTGTAGGTTTCCACAGGAAGAAGGAGCTCTGATCATCGAGGGGCTCCTCAACATTGCCTGGGGTCTGAGGCGGCCCATCTGGCTTCAGATACAGGACGACAGGGAGCCAGTGTACCACTCCTCAGCGTCATTGGTGCCTGGACAGTCCAGCTACCACTTGTGAGTGTGGGCTGGGTAGGGTGTGTCTGGGTGGCCTCCATGACACCTGTTCAACCAGAGTGTACTGTTTGGGCTGTCAGTGGACAAAGCCCACTTCTCTATGGGGCACAAGCATGGGAGCATCACTCAGTCTCACCCCTGTCACCTCATGACTGCCTCAGCCACAGCCTTACCTGCCCACATGCAACCTCACCTGCCGACATTGCAGGGTAGTCTTTCTAGATGACCCACATCACTTCCCTCCTAAAGATTGTTCCAGGTTCCTACCACCTTCAGTTTTGTTTCTCAAATATTCACATTAACGACATTGTCTGCAAGAAGAGAGGACTGTGGACGAGAGGTCCCTCTATAAAATGAACATTTCTCACCATTTTCTGTTTACCTTAAAAATTCATACAAATTTAGCCTCCTACTGCTCTGCTTTTAGTTTAATATCAGAATGTATCTTTATAAATTTATTAATATTTAATAGCATTTTTCTCTTCAAATATTTAAATACAGTTGCTGCTCTGAGGATCCTTAGCACATTGACACCCCTGGTGCATTCTCAGGTATTCCTAGTCACTCATATCAAATTTTGAGCAACACAGACTTGAAAGAATAAAGTTCATTCACACGGGCTTCTTAAAAAGCCTTGTGACATGTTTCCCACTTCCAAAGTTAAAGCAGTCATAGACAGCAGGAACCTCAGAGGCCTGTCAGTGTAGATTTGGCTCCTCTGTCTGACTCTCTCTGGCTCCTTAATGCTATGGGGCTGATTCCCATCATGCCTACTCCTCCAGCTCAGAGGCCCAGGGGCCAGCCTCCTGAAGGTTGTCCCTGCCCAGCTGTCCCCCAGGCCTGAGGGACACCAGAGCCCACTTGGCACATGGCGGCAGAATTGGCCTGCTTCAGCTTGGTGCCTAGGTGCATGTGCACACTGCTACGACCATGTGTTCATGCAGTGTGGCAAAGCAGAGACTGTTTAGGTCTTCAGAACGGACCCCCTCTTTTTTCCAGAAGACACTGTGGCAATACTGTGCTTTTCTTTTACTCTTTTACATTGACTCTCTTGGTGTGAAATGCCAGCCTCAACTCAACCTGTCCTGCTTCTCACCTGTGTCCTCTCTGAGAGGCAGCTGACTCTTCCCTTTGGCCTTGGCTGCTTTTCTCTGCCAGCATTATGATTATGTCTTTTCAGAAAGAAACCACCTCTTAAGGATGGCAGGGTCTCTGCCCAGAAGCCAAGCATTCAGCCCTCAGAGCACAGGGCTGAGAGTTCCAGAGACAGCTCAGGTAAGCAGAACCACAAGCTGCCTGGAGCCCTGTCTCACTCACCGTGGGTGGGAGAGGAGTTGACTCATAGTCCTCATCTCTGAAGAACAGCTTTTAGGAGTAGCAGAGTGACTTCATTTGTCTTCAGGGGGAACTCAAAGAATTCTCACTGAAGCCTCACAGAAAAGGAAGCAGAGGCTTGCAGAGGTGACATAGTGTGTTAGTGACCTGAGTCTCCTGCACCATGCTGAGTTACAGAAAGAGGGGAAAGTTAGCAGAGGGCCTGGAGCCCTCATGGCCTCAAAGACCTGTAGGACGGACCCCTCCTCACACTCTGGAATTCATAACTCCTTGTCTGTCCTCTTCATCCCCTCCCCTCACACTCAGGGAGGGGCCTGTTCAGAGCATAGGGCTGGGCTGCAAAAGGCCTGCCCTGGGTGCCCTGAGACAGAGGCCCACAGGTCATGGCAATGTGATGTGGTAACACAGGTTATCCTACCTAGGGGTCACCTTTCCTGTCTACAAACTGGGCATCACCAAACTGGACCCTGCCTCTGTCATAGGCACAGCATTCATATTACCATCTGCTACAGCATGGTGCTTTCACGGGGCTCTAGGGAGCTGAGCCCCATGCACCGCACAACCGCTGGAGCACAACAGTTCTCTGTCACCATTACTCCACCTGGGCCCAATCCTGTCATTATTTCTCACTGCAGAGCCCCTGGAGGAGGACAAGGAGGTCCCACAGCTGATGCATACCAAAAGTGATGCAGGCTGTGTGATCCAGAGGAGGCCCAGGTGCTGCACGCCCAGCGAGACCCAGAGGATCTGGCAACACCGGTTCTCTATCAGTGGACACTTTTACAACCACAAGGTGATGTCCCAGCCTTACCTCTCCTCTGGGCCCTGAAGCTAGGGCACAGGGAGCCAGCCCAAGCATGGGCAAAATTGTTGGGCCTAGGTCCCATGAAAGCTATGTCAAAGTTTACCTTCACCACCTTCCTGTGTGCAGGTGTGGTCATTCCTGTGTGGTGAAACAGGGCTCATGGGGAGAAATATCTTACCCAAAGTCACTTCTAAGTAATATTCCAGTTCATGGCCTGAAAGCTCCTCTCTTTCTCTCTCTTGGTCTCTGTCTCTCCATATATATATATTTATTTATTTATTTATTTTACCACAGACTCACTCTCAATCCATTCTCACAAGTTGTGTGGATTTTTGTCAAATCTATCTTTAGTCTATGCCAGGTTTATCTTTAGTTACACAATTTCCTATGAGGTTTTCATCAGAGCTCAGTTTTATGGTGATATCATGTACCTTAGTGGCATTTTTTACTGGTCAGATTGACCCCACTAGGCTGAGGTATGTCCAGGGGCACATGTTGTGTCCAGAGAAGTTGCACTGCTCCTGATTCCCAGTACTGAGCCTTTTGTCTGAGTGTATATTGTACTCACCTCAGGAAAAGATCTCCTTCCCCAAATGACATCATTCCATTAACAAACTGAACTGTATAAGGAGAGGCTGATTGTCACTACAAATGACACAAGTGGCAGTTTGGGTGAGACCCTGGAGACTGTGTCCTGTAACAGAGCCATATCCTGTAGCACTTATCTGTACCAGCCGTTCTGGACATATAAGAAGGATTGGGCAGGGGAGGGAGCATTCAAGGTTAGATCTGCAGAACAGCAGCACACATTTGACCTGCCAGGATCGATTCAAGCCACTCCTGGGGTGCCCTGGACTTCAGGACAAGGAATTCAGGGAGGCAAACTGACAGGACTCTGCGGTATAATCAGGACCTCCCAGCCGCTCCCTGCTAGGTTTGCCATGAGTGTTAATGAGTGATGACAGGTTACCTTTGTTCAGTCTAGGAAAACCCAGGACTCTTTGACAGCAGAATTTCCTGAAAGAGTGCAGGGGGAGCCAGGACTGAATTTAAGCAGAGATTAAGAATAGTTGAGCCCTGGCTGGTGTAGCTCAGTGGATTGAGCACAGGCCTGTGAACCAAACAACCATGGTTTGATTCCCAGTCAGGGCACATGCCTGGGTTGCAGGTCAATTCCCACCATGGCACCCACGAGAGGCAACCATGCACTGATATTTCTCTCTCTCTCTCTCTCCTTCCCTTCCCCTCTAAAGATAAACAAATTAAATTTTAAAAAAAGAAGAATGGTTGAGTTAGCAAAAGCACCACATGTAGTAAATCCTTCTAAGGATCTGGCTTTTCTATAAATCTTGTTCCAAAAGGGTTTAGTGTGTAAAATATTAAGTAAGCACCAGTACTTACTATTGGAATACATAAAGATAAGTTATTTTAAAGAATTATTCAAAAATTTAAAAAACGTTTGCATGGGTTTAGGCTCTTTCTGGTTTCACATTCCTAAAAAAAAGGAATCTTTTGCTGTACAACTCTAGCTGCCAAATAGTGGGGTTTATCTTTGGTACATTTACTCCTCCTCTAAGGGAGTCATTCACCTCTAAGAGGTTTGTCTCACTCATTAAACCTTATTTTAGTGATTTCAAATGTCACAGGGATATGGAGATGTATGAGCAGTCTATAGCCTTTCAAATGAACAGAAACGAATAGCAGGCTCTCATAACAGCCTTCCATGTCCGGTGGAGCCACTGCCAAGAAAGGTTCCCCAGACAGCCAGCCTAGAACTGGACACACTGTCCTGTAACCAGTCAGGGCAGATTTCTCTCCTAGTAGCAGGTTTACCTGTGGAATGTGCATCTGTTCTTCCAGACAAATTGACTATCTTCCAGGACATAAACTAGTATCTTAGGCAAGTTGGACAGTTGATTCACAACTTTTGGGTAAGAAAAGGACTCCAAATAGAAACACATGCAAAGCCCTCTTTCTTACTTTGTCCTAGATCCATTCAGAATTAGTGCTCTTAGAAATTAGATGACAAATTGTTTGAGCCACAGGCAACAAAATTTTTTTAATTCCTAGAATTGATTTCTTGAAGTTGTTATTCCAGGTTTTGTTTTTTAGGACTGTGTATTATTGCTTCACTGAATCATTTTCCAAAGCTGTTCTGATGCACAGTAATGTTGATCTGATTTCCAGACTGGGTAAAGCATGGTACACTTCCCCCTGCTTTGCCCTGTCCTGTCATATTCCAATGTGCTCAACTGGAGAGAAAGCATTATGGTTAGAGATGGGAAAGCAGCCCAGGGTCCTTCTCCCCACTTGCAGCTGGTTGGTGTCATCTTGAGAAAGGCTTCAGGAAGAAGAAACACGAGAAATGTCTTGTTGACAAGAACTTTCCTTCTCCTTGAAATGGCCCACCTCTTCTATTCCATATTTATTGGGAACTGAAGGCCTAGTCTGGCTTTGTGTATAACCCAGAGTTATTCTTCATCTTAACTGCAGAGAAGGCAGGTCCAGGATTAAGTCTGACTCTAGTACTTGGGGACCATCTGGGGACACAGGGCAAGTCCCTCATACACCCTAAGTCTCAGTTACAACCTGAGGAAAGCTGAGCTAGGGCCAAACAGCAGGATGTGCAAATTTTAACTTGGTTTTGGAAAGTGAGGAGGAGCTTACCCACAAGAGAGTCAGACACACAGGGAGGTCCTAGTGCCAGGAGATTAAAGCACAGGGGGCTTCAGGTGACTCTCCCTTCCTAGATGGGTGACTCCAACAAGCTACTTAACCTTTCCAGGCCTCCATGTCCTCTCTAAGAAAAAGGGACAAGTGACAGGTACTTCAAAGGGGTATTATGAAGATTAAATCAAAGATTATAGGTAAAGTGCTTAGTAGGTTTACTACCTAGCTATTGTCCGTTGAAGACTTATTGAGCCCTGGCTGGCTTCATATGAGATGTCTCATAGGCAAAGGCAGTCCCTGTTAAGTATACAAAGGGCCCTCAAACTGTGCCAAAGCCATGTGGCTGGAGCATCAGGTGCTTGGGAGAGAATCATCATGTCACATGTATGTGACAGTGACAGGAGCTGCAGGTGGCATTGTGCAGGCAGTGGGAAGCCTTCAGTACTTGTACCTAGAACTATTATTTAAGGCAGTGTTTTTCAGATTATACTTTACATAACATCACCTGTCTTTCTACTTAAAATTCATATTCTGCTTCATGGGGCCTGAGGCTGGACACTGATGCAGCTGGTTTAAAACACACTTTTGAGTAGCAAGGTTTTCAAAAAGTTATTCCTTTGGGCAGCAGTGTGGGGAATAGATGGAAAGAGCTTAGTCTAAAAGGCAAAAAGTTGGGAAGCTGATGCAGTATGAACTGAAAGCCTTTACTCAGGCACCTCTGGGAGAATGGAGAGGAGTGGACAGATTGGAGGACTTTCTGCCTTAGAATTGACAAACACTTGGTAAATTGATGGATAGAGTGAGGGAGAGACTGGTTTCCCCTACCTTTTGTGATTCTTAGGATCAGACAGTTGGCCCTTACAGCTTTGCAGACATCTTTCTCAGTAAGACACAGACTGTTACAGTTTCCCTGGGTGTGCCCAGGTACAGACACAACTTTTCAGTGGATCTGTGTGAAAGAATGAGCACCGATCTTCCCAGAGCCCCAGCTCACCTGCTGCTCCACTTTCCTCAGCAGCATCTCACTGACAGTGTGCCCCAACCCTGAGTGATGTCAGCCCTGTGTCCCTTTTGGCCCTTCCTTGAACTTTCCCCACTCCCTGTACAGACCTCCATATTTACTCCTGCGTATGGGTCCGTGACCAATGTGAGGGTCAACAGCACCATGACTACCCTAAAGGTGCTCACCCTGCTGCTGAACAAGTTCCGAGTAAGTCCAGCCATGCATGGCCTTTTCCTTGTGGTGGTGGTTTACCAGCTTTTGTTGTTGTTGTGTCAGAGGGTTGGTGAAGGCTGGGAAAAGTTTTCTACCCTGTGCCCCAAGGGTAGAAAGTCTAGGAAGGTTCTCTCTGCTGATCTACACTCTGGGATTTGAAGCAGAGATAGGTAGGTGTAGGGTGGTCTTGGAGATTTGTATGAGTGGCACTGGGTGTGTGGTTATTTCTAGGGGTCCCTTTCTGTTTCTTGTCTTGAAAAATGTGGTCTGACTTTCTATCTCTGCTGGTATAGGTGAAAAATAGCCCCAGTGAGTTTGCCCTCTACATTGTTCGTGAGTCCGGGGGTAAGTGTCTGCCTTTGCCCCAGATCATAAAAACAAAAGATTGTGTATTAGACAGTCTCACTGATCATGTTCCTTCTCTGAGGGCTGTTCTGGCTTGTGTGGCAGGCACCAGGCAACTGCCCTCCTGGCCTTGGAACCCACTGTGCCTCCACCATGAATGCCTCTCCCCAGACTAAACCAAGGCACACTCAACATTCCTTTCGGAGTCCCACCACAACCACACAGGAAACTACCATCTCCACCCTCACTCATTTGGGAGGTTTGGGCGGTATTGGGTTCTGCAAGATGGAGCTGCAGCCCTGCACCCACTGAGAAGTGCCATTTCAGATCCTGTACATTCCTCTGTGTAGCACTTGTATAGCACAGTATGGCAACTGAGTGGCCCAGTGCCCTGGTGTCTGCTCTCTCCCACTCCCTTGGAGACTGTTCCTTTCCATTGGGCCTTTGCTGAATGACATGATCACACATCATTCAGGGCAATGTTCTCAGCAGGTCTGGAACAGATTCCCTAGGTCCCCTGAACATCTGTCTTCCATCATGTGACTTTCCTGGAACAAAGAGAGGCAATAATGCCCCATGAATTTTCTAAATCACCTTTTTTTCAGAGCGGACAAAATTAAAAGACTGTGAGTACCCACTAATTTCCAGAATCCTGCATGGGCCATGTGAGAAAATTGCCAGGATATTTCTGATGGAAGCCGACTTGGGAGAGGAAGTTCCCCATGATGTGAGTGGGGCCTGAGGTTTGGGAGGCCTGCTGCTGAGATAGAAGGGCTTGACGGCATGGGGACTCTCAGGATCTCCAAAGGTGACCTTGGCCACAGCCCTCTTGGACATTGTCTCCAGGGACCACATGGCTGTCCAAAAGGACCCCAAGCCAGGTGCAATGATGGCTCCAGCCCTCCCTGTACCTGCAAGCCACTACCAGCTCCAACAGCTGGCTTGGAGGAAAAAGAAATTGGGCTCTAGGAAACCTTGCCTGTGCTTTGTTGCAGTGTGTCCTGTTGTCATTTCATTAAAGACCCACAGAAGGGTTTCTTAACTAGGGCTCAACCAGGGCCTGCAGAAGTGAACCAGACATCTAAGTCTCATCACAGCCTGAGTCCTCATACACAGATATTGAGCACATTTCCAAACTCACCTGACAAGAAAAAGCTTATAAGGTTTGGACCACAAGGAGAAGGGCCAGTGACCCTGTGTCCCACAGTCCAGTACATTTTCATTCTATTATTAGAAGTGGTGTCCCCACCATTCCCCACCTTCACCCAAGAGAGCACCCAGTGTGCCTCTGATTGCTGTTTAATGTTTCCCCTAATATTTAGCTTAATCTTTCCTCCCAGGGATAATTGTTGCCTTTGAGGAAAGAATGGGCCCATCGTTCCATCCTGGGACAAAAGGAGCAATGTTGGTGATAATTGGGAGAGAGGCAGCTAATTTCCACAAATATAAGATGTTGCTCAGTCAGCCACTGTAGAAACCGTGGGGAAAAGAAACATGTTTTTGGCTTGTAATTTAAAGCACAATAAAATGTTCTTTGATTTTCTAGGTTGCTCAGTACATTAAGTTTGAAATGCCGGTGCTGGACAGTTTTGTTGAAAAATTAAAAGAAGAGGAGCAAAGAGAAATAATCAAACTGACCATGAAGTAAGCAGCACTTAAAGGACCAGTCGTGGGTCCTGATGATCGGGGCAGGTCTACAGGGTAGAGCAGCCAGGGCCAGGGCTGGGAGCACTCTCTCTCCTTCAGATGTGTCAGATGCCCTCACACAGTGCAAGGGCCTGCTTACCCAGGCTTCCAGCATGGCCCTCTGGCCCCTGGTATTGATACCTAGTATGCCAAAATCCAAAATGGCAGGATGCAGCCCAGACCACCCACCCAGCCTCACCACCTTACAACACTGGAGGGACACAGTTTCCTGAAAACTAGACAGGACAGTCAGACAGGAGCATGGGTGGGCACTGGACCAGGTTGTGAGTTCTGCTGGTGATACAGCTCTGGAGGAGCAATGAAGAGAGGAAGTGTGCAGTGCACATTCAGCCTAGTCTGGGCCTTTCATACCAGTGGGAATCTGAGCTGGCCACAAAGGAGTGGTTGTTGGAACTCCCTGTATCATGAGATTTTCAGGTGCAAAACAGTTCAATAGAAAGGTGAGCAGATGTCACCTGCCAGCTCCTGTAGAAACTAGATCAGGGCCCAGCTGTGTGAGGTTAGCCAGGTTACACGTCCCAATGACTTGTCTCTCCCTCTGCATGGTGAAGCATGGAAAGGACACATGGGAGGTGCTCAGCCATGTATAGGATCAGAGTTCCTCTTAGGAAGAGAAGGAAGGAGGCTGCTCATTGCTAGGGCCCAAAGTTGAGGACTGGCTTGGATTCTGGCATCTGTCTGAGTGACCTATGCAGTTGGGCCCCATGCAGGCCATCAGCACAGATCCCAATAAGAGGGAACATTGTGTAATGCAGTCAGCAGTGTCACTAGAATTTTGCATTGTCACTGGAAACCTGGCTAGTCCATTCAGGGTACAGAGAGAAAACAGAGGCCCAAGGTGAGGAGGCTTGAAGCACAAGTTATTCCAAAGCTCAGGCTTGAATCCAGGGCTTCTCACCTTGGATCTGTGCCCTGTCCACTCCAGCATGCTCCTGTCCATACTGGGCAGTATTTGGAATAGAAATGGCAGCATTCATCTTTGAAGCTTGGCACTGTCTGAAGGCCTGTTCAACTGCCTCTGGCAGCCAGTGGTCCCACAGGGTGTGGGCCTGGCTCTTTCCTTGCTAGAAGACAGTTGGTAACACTAACCAGCCAATTGGGAACCCTATGTCTCCCAGCCCAAGCATCTGTGGCTCCCTTGCTCTGCTTCCCACCCCCACACCACATCCCATACAGTGTCAGTGAGTCCACTTGGCTATGTCTCCCTTCAGGTTCCAAGCCCTGCGTCTGACGATGCTGCAGCACCTGGAGCAGCTGGTAGAGGCCAAGTAGACAGCCATCGCCTCCCTCTTCCAAGGCCAGCAGCCAGTGTATACTGAGTGCCAGTGACCAGGCCCTGATTGACAGCCACCACCTGAGGAATCCAGCACCTATGCTTCCACCTGCCCATCTGCCTAAGTCCCATAAGTCTCATATTCCTGGCTCTTGGCTCCACAGTGAATGCTTACAGGACCCAGACACAGGCATGAGCAGCAGGAACTGGCAGCAAACAGCCCTGACTCTGGCACCAGCCACATTATGTGGCTGGATAACATGAGTAGCTCTGTTCACACCCCACCACTCCTGATTAGGAGAGCAGTAACCTACCCAAGCCCCTGGAGGGTGGGCTCCATCTGTTTTCCTGGTTTCTGCCTCAGAACTCCCTCAGGGCCATGGTCCATGTCCTCATGGGCCAGATGAACCATGAGATCCCTGTCTGTCTTCACTTCATGCTGCCATACATGACTTCTGCTGGGAAAAACAGGCTGCCTGCAGGTATGGAATATGCCCTGCTCCCAGCCATCACTTCACCATGGCCTCCAAGCATCTGATATCACCCATGAGCCTCACACAGCCCAGCACCTCAGAGGTGGAGGCCAGACAAGGAATAAGACCATAAGTATTGTGTCTTCTCTCTGCAGCACTAACAACTTCTTCAGCCATTCCTGAAGGAATTCTTATAAGGAACTCACTGCAAAAAAAACATGCCAATTTGATCACATGGAGGAGGTGGCCCATGTAGTATTAAAAATATGACATCCCATTTGGGCAATAGTCCAGGGTCCAGCAGCTGCCTGGCAGCAGCTCAAGAAGGCAGTGATCACTCCTTATGTCCACTGCCCCTCTCTAGGCTGTGTCCCTCTGCTCTCAGTACTTCCTGTCAAAGGGGTGCAATAAGGAGAAATGTCAGTTTGAAGAGAAATGGCTTTGAATTCCCTGGGTCTGTATACTGAACAATTTGGGTTTGTCAGCTGATGGAAAATTTCTAAACCAAATAAGAAGTCCTTTGCAAAATTATGCAGCAGATTACATTAGTCATGTATTTGTCAGCAAGCTGAAGACCAAATTCTTTTTCCATTGTGGCCTGTAGATAGCATACATAAAGGGGAAGAATCACAATAGCTTCCAATATGGGTGGGATTCCATCTCTGTTTCCAGTAGTGTCTCCTCACTGGCACCCATGAAGAGCAGAGATTGGGGGCTGCCATGCTGTGTAGACCCACTGTTCAGGGTAAACTCTAGGTAGGATATGTCCTGCCATCTTCATTGTCACAGAGGCATGCAGAGAGGTACAGGGTTGCCCTGCCACAGTTTCTGTTGTCTGCCTCCTATGATAGCACAGTTTCCTAGGCGCTCAATAAGGGTGTGCTCTACTAAATGGAAGGAGTCAGGACCAAGCTTTCTTCTCATTTATGTGTGTCTCCCCTAAGCCCCAGCTATAATTTCTGAAACTCCTACCCTGCACAATATATAGCTGAATTTGGCAGATGAGCCAGAGTGGAGCCCCAAGTCTGCTCTTAACACTGACCTAACTCCTTCATTTCTGTGCACATCCTGGGGATTGGTGTGGGACCTGAGGACAGAGGCAACCACAGGGCATGGAGGAGGAATCATTGGTGGCAGTCTATGGGTGGCCTGGACAGTAAACAACAGAGACACTCCAAATCACAGATTCTCAACATCAGGAATCTTCCAGGTAGGGGCTCAGGTGGGATGGCGGCAAGGCTTAGAAGAGGGTAGAAAGCAGCCCCCCCCCCAAGTCATTTTACTTCCCAGCCCATATTTACAATCTCGGGATAGCTACCATCCATTGTTCAGCAGTAATTGAGTGACTACCTTGTACAAGGCCTCTGCCCAGCCCTGGAGGGACAAAGACAGAACCACACTCCATGGCATGTTCAGGGTTCTCACCAGGAGAAGCAGCAAGACACCCTGAGGGTCAGGGACCAGTAGAGGAAAGAACCAGTGAAAGTTCCTGGAAGGGGGCCTAAGGCTGAACCTGAGTAATTAAGACTATGTGTAGAATTCCAGCTCAAGAGACATCTGCCAGTATAAGCAGACCAGGGGCTGGCACATAGGATGCTATGGAATCAGGAACCCTTCTGTGAGCACTCACCATTTTTTTGTTGTTGTTTATTTTTGAGTGATGGTGAGGGTGGAAGGTTTTTTTTGCAATTTTTACAATATTATTTAATCATTGTCTAGATAAGTGTCACTTTAAAATAGACACCACTGGTTAACTTTTTAAAATCATTTTTTATTGTTCAATTACAGTTGTCTCCATTTTCCCACCACTTTCCCACGTCCTACCACCCCTACCTCCCACCCTCCATCCTCCCCCCACTTTGGCTTTGTCATTGGGTCCATTACACATGTTGCTTGACGACTCTTTCGCTTCTTTCTCCCATTATCTCCTTCCCCCCTCCCTCTGGTTACTGTCAGTGTGTTCATTATTTCAATGTCTCTGGTTACATTCTGCTTGCTTGTTTGTTTTATTGATTAGGTTCCACTTATAGGTGAGATCATATGGTAATTATCTTTCACCGCCTGTCTAACTTCACTTAGCGTAATGCTCTCCAGTTCCATCCATGTTGTTGCAAAGGGTAGGAGCTCCTTTCTGCTGCATAGAATTCCATCGTGTACATGTACCACAGTGTTTTGATCCCCTCATTTACTGATGGGCACTTAGGTTGCTTCCAGCACTTGGCTATTGTAAATTGTGCTGCTATGAATATTGAGTGCATAGGTTCTTTGGAATTGGTGTTTCAGTGTTCTTAGGTTATAATTTCAGCAGTGGAATTGCCATTCCAGCAGTGGAATGGCAGTTCCATTTTTAGTTTTCTGAGTAAATTTATACTGTTTTCCACAGTGGCTGCACCAGTCTGCATTCCCACCAACAGTGCACTAGGGTTCCCTTTTCTCTACAGCCTTGGCAGCACTTATTACTTGTTGATTTGTTTATGATGGCCATTCTGATTGGTATGAAGTTGTGTCTCATTATGGTTTTAACTTGCATTTCTCTGATGGCTCATGATGCTGAGCATCCTTTCATAGGTCTCTGGGCCCTCTGTATGACCTCCTTGGAGAAATGTCTGTATATGTCATTGGTATTTTGATAGGGATTATGTTGAAACTATAAATTACTTAGGTAGTGTGGACATTTTGGTGATGTTAATTCCTCCAGTCCATGAACATGGTATGTGCTTCCATTTGTTTGTGTCTTCCTGAATTTCTTTCTTCAGTGTTGTATAGTTTTCTGAGTACAGGTCTTTGACCTCCTTGGTTAAGTTTATTCCTAGGTACTTTGTTTTTCTTGTTGCTATAGCAAATGGGATTTTTTTCCTGATTTCATTGTTGGTATACAAAAATGCCTTTGATTTCTGAATATTGACTTTGTATCCTGCTGTTTTGCCAAATTCACTTATTAGGTCAAATAGTTTTTGGTGAAGTCTATAGAATTTTCTAGGTACATTATCATGTAATCTGCAAACAGTGACAGTTTTACTTTCTTTTTTCTAATTTGGATGACTCAAAACATCTGAATATCATAGCTAAGAAACTCACTAGCACAAGAAAAGGGAAGATGTACAGGAAAGGGGAAATGTCCACTTCTACCATAACCTTGGGGTCTACCAATCCTTTTTATCAATGTTGTAATTGTTCTCAGAGGGAATTTGAAAATCTGCTTAATTCAGCTCACTATGATACCAGTTTCAAACTTTTCTCCACAAGGTTCTATGGGAGCTCCAGGTTCCTCTCTCCACAGATTATACAGTATTTCTCAGATGCTCCTTTACTAACTAGTATCTCAGGTAATAAATGTACCCAAGATAAAGTAAAGATTCCTTTGAGACCATGTCCTCTCCTAAAATAGGACTGTCTTCCCAGGCCAGAGCTTAGGCACCAGAAAAAAATAATTAACACATGATGAAATCAACATGATTGCAAAAGAAAAATTGGACTCAGGAAGAACAGGGTGGTTTGGCCAGAACGAATAGAAGACAAAAACACCTTGTTTTTCCCATGGTGGCAACCACATGCTACCTTGCCTGGGATGTTAACCAGAAAATGGATTAAAGACCCCCCACTGTCAAAAGAGCCCTTCACCCAGGAACACCTGGCCCCCTAGTCTCAGGAAATAAAGCACAGGGATTATCTAGTCTTACCAGGTGATTTGTGGAGGACCCAGCAAGCCACAATATGCCCTGTGCGGGCAGGAACATAGGTGGCCTGCAGTTGCAAAGTAGGAGCAGGATATCCTTGGCAGGTGTCCTGGTGGGAAGCAGCCTCCTCTCACCCCCACCATGTTCAGGCAGGAGATGCAGTCAAAACCAACCTGTTCCAAGTGTACAAACAGCTGAAAGCACACACCATATTTAGACCCCACAAGCCAAAGTTGTTTGGGAGCAAGCCAACTGCTGACCTGTTCCTGGACTCACAGTTCACAGGGTGGGGCTCTGCTTCCACCTGGCTGGACTTCTGAGATGTTTTCTGCAAACCTAGACAGTTCAAGAATTTCCTTTCCCAGACAACTCAGAGGAAACAAAAAGCAAAGCCTCAGGCTTGGTGGACAGAACCATTGTAAGGGTGTTTTCATGGTAAATGAGCTACTCTTGTTACTGCATTTGGGCCACACATGTGACTAGCATCCTTTGCATTGTTTCCAAATGAAGACCCAAGGCAGCAGAGCACCCATTTGAACAAGTGTTTCTGTGTGTATGTGTGCGCACATGTGTGTCCATGCAAAGGAGTGGGGATGCAGAGAATGAAACCATAGTAAAAGGAAAGTTTCTTACCAGGTTTTTTCTCATCCCGGAAGCCTCTTCATCGAATGAGTCATTAAAATACGACAGGACTAAGCGACACACTGCTGGGTACTGTTTCCAGAGGAGCACCAGTCATCAAGGTGTCTGGTCTCAGTCCAGTTTCCCTAGACGGATTTGCAGTTAGGAGGAGGTGGTAGCATAACCTGTCTTTGCTGCCCTGACCATCCATCCCTTCCGTTCTCTCCCCCATTGTCTGTGTGTTTTGTAAACGTGTGCCCATTTTTAATAATTTAATTTGTTTAAAAGTAACCTGGAACCCTATTTATGAGGTACTATTAGGTAGAAGTTAAAAGTAAAACCTGGCTATGCCATATGAGTGTGGGACCTTAGGCAAGTTACAAGCTTCCATTTTCTCATCTGTAAAATGAGGATAATAACTTCCTATCTCTTAATAGTTGTGGGAGTTATATCAGTCAGCTTTGCTGCAGGAATAAATAACACCAAAAATCTCAGTGACTACAACTAGAGCACAGGTGGCAAACACAAGGCCCACAGGCCAAAACCTGCCCTCCACCTTGTTTTATCTGACCAGCGCTTTGTTTCTATCCAGGAGCAGCCCCTAGTTAAGGAGTGGTTACATTTATACAGTCTTAAAATTACATTTGGCCTTTTGGAGTCAAATGTGAGGCTGATGTGGCCCCTGGTACAAATGAGTTTGACACTCCTGAACTAGAGCATTTCCATGTTACAATTGGCTATAGGTGACTACAGGTAGTCATACGTATCTCTACTCCATGTGTCTTCTCTCTTGGGCCCTAGACTGAAGGAGCAGCCCCTACTTGGGAAACAGTATTCTCAAGGCAGAAGGAAAGAACAGGGTGATGGCAGAAACAGTGATTCAAAGCTTTCCTAAGGGACATGATATCTTTGTGTCTACTCATATGCAGTTGGCCAATCAATGCTATCCACACATAAAGTCAACATTAGTGGAATGAGTTGACACTCACTAGGAGGCGCTGAAAGTCACACAGCAATAAGCAAAGATGTAAAATCCAAGAAGGATACAGCGTATGCTCAGGAACCATACCACAGGAATATTTCTGAGGAATGAGAAACTACAAGTGCTTCAAACAGTGCCTGACATAAAATAAACATTCGGTATTGACTATTATTTACTAATAAATAGAAGGTATAAAAAACCCTGCCTGTTTTCTCCCTCTCCTTTTTCTCTGTAATCTTCCCACTCCTTCCCACCCCGTGTCCTTTTCTGTCTCTTGTGTCTCTCCATGCCTACCTCCTACTCTGTCCACTTTTGGCTACTCACACACCTTTATTTCATTATTTTCATCACTCTCCTTTTTAAAATTTGTTTCTTTACCCATTTCTCTACTTCTCTAATCTACACATCTCTGGACCTTCTATAGTGGGCCCAGTTGTTTTCAGGTACAGGAAAAAGGCATAATCCACCTTTATATAGGTCATGAAAAGAGTTAAGTTTTAATTAATGCCTGTCTTACTAACTAAATGTTTTTTAGTATATTTTACCATATTTTAATGTACATAGAACAAAGCACCCAAGCAGGTCACTTTTGTTCTTGAAACTGTCAAGTGATGGTGCCACTTTTTTCAGTGCCAACAGCTCAATGTTGTTATAGCTCAATCATGAAGCAGCATAGCTATGGAACAACTCAGCTGCAAGGTAGCCCTGGGGTTAGAGAGCTCTGCTCTGCTCCCTTCTGCTGCCACAGCAAGACTTTTTCAGTGTTTCTTCACACCAGTAGAAGAAACAAGGCCTCTGTCTTCAGTGGAAAGGAGCACTGTGTTCCCCAGCCAGCGGGGAGCTGACTTATTTAAATAGAAGTCTCCACCTCTGGTCCCTGATTGGTCTGTCCTCATGCAAATGAGGACTTTAATTCCTTGTAGTTTGATTGGTCTAAAAAGCATTGTCTTGATTGATCAAAATGGAACTGCTATAATTTGTCAGTGAAGATATCGATGGGGGAGGAGGAATAGAGCTACACAGCTCTGATTGGATTAAGGAAAGGCCTCAGTCCTATTGGTTGAAATACAATTCCAGCAACTCCCATATAAGGGCTGGCTCAGAAGTCAGGAATACAATGCAGGCAGGCAGTTCAGGGCAGGCTTCTCTCTGAAGTATGGCTTGCATGAAAGGCCCCTGTTTAGAAAGGGCTGCTAGGCCTGCTTTCAAATTTGAGCCCAGTTAGCTGACTTGAACGCTTGTCGGTAGGTAACTTCTTTCTTAGGATCCACACAACTTATCCTAAGCTGTCTCTGACCATTGCCCACTACTCCACTCCCTCCAACTACCAGTATCAACACTTCTAATAATAATTTAATAAAAGTAACAGCAGTGCCTCTTATTTATGTTATGCACTGTGCTAAGTCACTTACAGTACCTCATTTAATCTTTGCAGTATCATTTAATCAGTCTAGCTATTATCTGGATTATAGAGTTGATATGCCTTGTCTAGGCCTTAATCAGTTTCATGCTTTCCCACTTGGAAAGCAGAAAACCCCAGGTGGAGCTAATCTGGCTTCTACCATCAACTAGCAGTACTACCTCAGGCAAGTCTCCCTCTCTCAGCCTCCTTTTACTGGTCTGTAAGAAAAATATGATTCCTGCATTGTGAGATTATAACAAAGATGAATGACAAGAGAATAGATGTAAAAACACTTTGTAAACAATGAAGTATCTTATAAATGTTTTCATTCAACAAATACTTGCTGAGTGCCTGCTACCTGCTGAGCACTGTTCTTGGCACTGCAGACACAAGGAACAAGAAACAGACCATGATAGCTTTGTGTGCCACTCTAAGGCCATGAGCTTTTGTTCTAATGACATGAGGAACCTATAAAGGTTTTGAACAAAATTACTGTCATGTTCTGACTTGGGTTTTAAGAGGATCTTTCTGGGGCTGTGAGTAGACTGTGGAGATCAGTGAGAAAGCCACTGCAACAATCTTGAAAGATGACAGCAGCTTGCTGAAGGTTATCGCAGTAGAGGTGAAATCGGCTTGATTCTGGACATATTTTGAAGATAAAGCCAACAGAATTTCAATGGATTGGATTTGGGTTTTGCACGAAAAGGCAACAATGACATCATTTGGGGCCTATGCAACCGAAAAGCTGGAATTACCATTATTTGCTGGGATGAAAACTGTTGAAGTAATAGGTTAGGTGAATACAGTAAATTCATTCAAGGGTATGTTAGGTTTGCAGTATCCATCCCACATGCAAACAGTGCTGGGTAATCAACTGGATATACAAATCTGGAATTCAATAATAATCGTATCTCAGGGTGGGACTGGAGTTACTAGGTCAGGAGTCTTCAGCACATATGGATGGTATCTGAAGTTACTGACTGGAGGAGTTGGCAGGGGAATGATGGTACTAGCAGAGAGGTCAGATGACCCAGTACTGGCCAGCTTGGCTAAGGAGAAGGATCCAGCAAGCGAGGAGAACCGGAGGAGTGTTGACTATCACGCGACTGGGAAAAGACCTGTTCCAATCCTTGATCGTCCACCCATATACTGTAAAGTTGATCAAACTTCTTCTAAACCTTGATTTCGTGGTATGTAGAATGAGTATGATCATTCTGATATAGGAAACTTTGAAAAACCTCTGTTTAACCTTTATTTGCCCAGGCCCCAGGCGCCCTGGGGAGAATGATGGGGCTGTCTAGGATAAGTAAACAACAGTGCATTAGCTAGGACTGAGATTAACACCCCTGCTTCTGTGTCCTTAGAGCCCTGGAACTGAATAATGGGAGCCTTTAACCTCTACCCCGTAAATAGAACTAACTTCCGCATTCCGCTTCTGTATCCCGCCTTGCCACGTAGACAAGAAGACCCTAATCTATAAAAACCCCAGGAATCCTTTGTTCATTGCTCAGAATTTGGAAATGATTCCTCTGAACCCATGCATGTAAAATAAACCTCGTACTCCAAAATCCCTCGGTGTTTGGTCGCTTCATTTCCCACAACATTTGGTTCCCTGACCGGGAAATCGCGACCTCACACTAATTCAGGCCTTTTGTCACCGTCTGGAAACGCCAGGAGGCGGCGCAGGACCAACTGGGGAAAGCGGGGGTGCACGTGCCCTGAGATTTCTTAGGCCCCGTCTGGTTGGGGCGGCAGCCGCTGACCCGCACGGCCAGGCGGGAAGTGAGGGATCTTGGACTACGGTTTGATTGGAGGCGCCAAAACTTGGTGAGTGCCCCGGGGACTTGTCCCGAGACTGGAAGAGGCTGATCACCTCTCATTGGAACCTTGGGTTGGATGCATTCCGACCACTCGACCCCTTCTCGGGGGGTTTTGTCCTGAGTTTAGGTGGGATCCATACCGGGTTCCACAACTTGACCCCGTACTCAGGGGGGTATTGTCCTGAGTTTAGGTCAGATTCGACCACTGGGCCCCTTACTCAAGGGGGGATTGTTTAAACTCGGAGTGCTTGAGGCTGAAAGTGTGTGCGACTGTGTTTGTGGCTCCACGGGCTGGTCCTACGGAGCAAGAGTGGGTCCCAACCTTCGGTTCCTGTGTCAGGTCATACAGCATAACGGTTGGCAGCTAACCCCGAATTCTGCTGGGGCAACCTTAGCCAAGACTGACTTCGTCCCGCGAGGGAGCAGGCCAGGCGGATGAGCGAATCTACCCCACCCTTTGTGTGTCCACGTCGTGTGGGGCTCGGCAGGTATGAGTGAAAGAGCTTAAGTTATGTGAGAACCGCGGTTCGCCTGTGTGAGAGGAGAAACTGTATCTGTGCAGTCTTTGTTTGTCACGGCTATGTCATTGTCTGTGAGTTTCTATGTCTAGTTTGTGAAAAAAAAGAAAAAAACAACTATGACTGGTTTCTGAGCTTCCAAAGGTCTTACAGGCGGAGGGATTGCGCTGCAAGACGGCGTGAGCCCTGCAACTAAATAGCGCCCTCCGCACCCCCACCCAATAGGCAAAAGTTTTACAGGCATCGAAGAGGGGCCCGGCCGGCCAGCCGACCAGCGCCGGCTGCGAGCGGGCCTCTCCACCACTGATGGCAGCGCGCCAGGCCCGGGCGGGCGGGCGGGTTTTGGTCCCCACCTTGCTGCGCGCCGGCCCAAACGGCGCCGGTAGGTGCGCCCCACGCCGTGCTCGCGCTGGGCGGACTACCAGCCTCCGCCCCCCCGCTGGCCGCTGACGCCCCCGCCCGGCCTGCGGGAGAGCCACCCTGTCCCGCGACCGGTGACCGACGGCCGGCGCCCGTGCGCGCGCGCGCCAGCTGGGTCCGCGGGCGCCAGTGCCGAGGAATCTGACTGGTTGAAACAAAGCAGCACGGAGGCCGCGCCGGTATTGACGAGATGAGTATTTTGCCCCCAGAGTTCCCCAGTCGGCAATGCTAGGACCCTCGCTCGCTGATTGGAAAAGCGCGCACACTTCTCGCGTCCTCGCACCCTCCCCTCTTCCCCTTATCGGCACCCCAGGTGGCAGGGCGGGAGCAGGAGACTATCTCCTCGGGACAATCAGGATTGCCGAGGTGCTGGGTCGCTCCTGCGAGCAATCGCTTCCCCCTCCCCGTCACCGTGCTGACTTCGGTGGTTGGCCGCAGCCCTTCCCCCCAGTAACTGCGGGCGAGATTTGGAAGGCTGACTAGGGGCAGCCCGCCCCGCTGGCTATTTCCTAGCAACGGGTAGGGTCTCAGCCAGTGGGCGGGGCTGATAGCACTAAAGTGGGTTTTCTGGCAGCTTGAGACGTGAGGAATTTTAAGTTCTGAAATGTTTGCCAGTGAGGACCTTGTAATTCGACTGGTCTGGCAATTGTGAGACGAGCTCATCATACTTTAAAAGAGTCTTGAGCCTTTCCCCCCGAGAGTGATTTATTGGCCATTTTAACTCTTAGCTCGGAGAGGGGGAGTGTGCTGTTTGCCTTTCTAAATGACCTTTAGCTCCAGATTTCTCCAAGCTGTGTGGAATTCCAACCAGCGCCCCTGGAGTGGTCACCTAAGAGAGACTTTTAAAGAGACTAAATTAATGCTGCAAACAAGCAAGAGTGTTTTCAGATTCTTCATGCTGAAAGTAACTTTGTAAAGTCTGTGCTAATTCTTCCAAAATTGAAATGTAACCAAACCTGTTACTTTTATGTATCCCATGTGTTTATATGATTTTTCAACTGACTAGATTTAAGAATTTGAGTTATAACAACCCAGAAATGCCTTAATTAATTCCTGTTTGTACTCTATAATATATATAGAAATTGTTCCTTGTAATTGCATTCAAGAATAGCAAATAGCAGATTTCACAGGCCTATTTTGATTTGATTTTATAAACAAGAATAGGGAGATATTGCTGACCGCTCTGCCTGATTTTAGAATCGTACCGCTGCCCTTAGGGTCTGGGGGCGAGACCTCTGGAGTGCAAGACTCCCTGGTGGCAGGCACTGCCTTGGGTTTCTCTCCCTGCCCCCCCAGAGCTTGGTCGGAAGTCGGTAGCGAGTGGGACTTCCCCCCGCTTTGACAAAGCCCTGAGTCCCCGTATATTCTGGGAGAAGCGCTTTCTGACTTCGATCTCCTTAGGCCTGAATGCCTACTGGGGAGAGGTGCAACTCCCGTGCCTTGCTAGAGTTAGGAAAAATTTGGCGTCACAAAGGCTTGCTAATGAACCTGTGAAGTCTGCTAAGAGTGCTTTCATTCATATGATAAGAGTCCGAGGGGTCCTAGTGTGTGGGAAGCTTAGATAGAGCCGCTGGGACGGCGGATGGGCTGCCTCTGGATTGAGAGCAGGCTTGGGACCTCGTTTGCCCCTTCTCTCTGGTGCCCCTCGGTTGTCCCTGCTCCCCTGCACACTGGCTCAGCCACTGGGGCATGCTCTGTGCTAATTCCTGTCATCTGTCTATGTAGGGGAGCTGACCTGGGTGTCCTGGCTTCCCATGACTTTGGCATGGACTGCCCTGGTTGTAGATAGGTTCGAGATTCCCTCCGGGGGGCCGGGCGGCTCCGAAGGTCAGCCATTCTGGGGTACAAAACGTTTCTAGCTGCAGCAGTCAGGTTCTCTGTGTAACTGGTTCTGATAGGAATAGCTCTAGTTTTGAAAAGTCATGGATTGAAGTCCAAGAATGACCACCTGATTTATAAGGTATTTGCAGAGTCTAAGCTTCAGAAGAGTGAAAAATGTCCCTACAGATCTAGAGACTTTTAGTAGAAGATACCTGAAGTACTAGAGATTTATAGCTGCCGCATACTGAGTTTAAGCAGTGAATTTAACTACAGCCTTTCCCAGTATGGGAAAGGAACCAAAATTAAAAGAAAATAATAATTAAATCTAAATAAGCAGAAATATAAACAGAGGATATGAAAGTTTTAAACCTGGAGTAAAGGAAACCTCAACTACTTGTTTTCTAATTTCATGGGAAAAGCAAATTTCTCACATGTAGTTCTGTTTCTAATCAGAAACCTGTGTTTTAAGACCTATTGAAGGTCACCTGAAGACCTAGGGAAGGTCACCTGTAACCGGTTGGGGAGAGTGCCTTTGCCACCCGGGACCCAGGAAGGGTCAATTGTGGCTGATGAGTGTTTCAGCCTGAGGCAAAGCAGCATGTCTCTGCCAAGAGACCGGGCCTGAAGGAGCATGTCTCTGTGAGGCACCAGTGGAAGCATTGGTGCGAGAGAATGTCTCTACCTGTATTGTTTCGGAACACTGTGTTTCAGATTTTGCTCTGTATCTGCTCTGAAAAGAAAATTGAAGATTCCAAGAAAGGTTAAAACTTCATACTCTGTAGGAAAGTGAACAAGGAAAAAGATTTTCCATCATGCTTTGTATTTTTCTCCTAACCCCTCCAGAATTTGGCATTGTCTGAAGGAATAATGACACTATAAGGTTTCTTTGCATAAATTCAATAAGACCAGCCATTAATAGTAGTTTTGTTAACCAGGACTTTGACTAGAATGTCACGCCTGAAGGAGGCATATGGGTTCTGGTCATTACCAGAAAGCTCAGAGGAACTAGGATTGACCTGTGAAGCTAGTGAAAGCCCACAAGAAAAGCCTGGTATTTTGGTTAGTTATGTGGTTCATGCCAGTCTTTCCAGGGGAGGAATGAAAGTTACTTTCCTGAAAGATAGCTGAAAAGAAACCTGTGGTTAGCACAAGTTGGACGCTCAAAGATTTGAGTGAAACAACTGGTACAAGCGAGGCCAGATGTGTGACGCTGCTATGCCCTGAGGGGCAGATTGAAAAGTCAATCTAAGAGTTCCCTGGGTGAGTGTGAGTTCCAGCAAAGCAGACTTAAGGATCACAAGTGATCCAGGCTGCTCTTGGTGTATTTATGCAAACGAACAGTCAAAAATCAAAAGTGGGACCCAAAGTAGTCCCTGTAATAACAGTGAGGGTAATCTTAAGGAGAAAAATTATAGTTCAAGGAAAATCACAGTGTTCAGCATTAGACATCAGAATAGTACAGCTAACTGCCTTGAAAATTTACTCTCATTTAAAAGTTAAAACCAGGTTTGTGATGTCACCAAAGATGTACAATTTACAGGTGCAAAAGACCTTGTCTAATTGCCACTGTTAAATGTCATTGTAAGAAAGACCTTGCAATAGAATGTCTTCCCAAAAGACAGTCTCACGGGCGCAGAGACTGGTTTAGGGATAGTTATACCAATTAACCTATGTGTTCTTCTGTTTTCATAGGGCGTATGCCTATGACTTGCCTATGCCTATGAGAGATTAGTTGCAAGATAGGCCTCACTTAAGGAGACCATCTCCATCATTGCCCCACTAAGTCTCAATGGTTTGGCTGAACTAAGTAGTTGGGTTAGTGAAAGACTAGGGCGGTTTGTAAGCTTCATTTTAGAACTAATTTTCTCTTTTCTGTCTTGATAGCTTGGACAGAAAAGGCTCAGAAACCTGAAAGGAGGGAACTCCTAATCATTACTAAAGTGCCTACCATTGTCTATTAATAGTTATAATTAAATTGTGCTTCCAATTTCTTGCCTAATCTGTCACCTCCAGAATATGACCTGACCAGAATGACAGCGGTCCAGTAATGCCAGCCTCTGGACACCAAGCCTGCGATGTCCGGGTGACAGCCGACTGACCAGGACCCTGTGAGGTCTTTCCCCTTACAGGAAAGACTCCCTCCGTGCTGCTCCCCTTCAGGGCACTCCAACCCCAGGGTAAATAAGACAGCGTCCATTTCCAGCTTGGAAGAAGTTACAAGAAGATGAGACCTCCGTCCCTTTTCCTTTATATAATTATAAAGTAAATATAAATCTAAAAGGAAAAATATTAATACAGAGTGCATCCACAGAGAGCCCCAGAAAAGATTTGGGATAAGATCCAAGGTTCAGAGTATCCAAGAGATATTGAGGTATACTTACCACTCCCTGGGAGACGGGGACGAATGGGGTGGGGCCAGTGGGAGATGTTGTACATAGCAACAGGTTTGCAACTGACCTCTAGGGTGATTATTTGACATATAGCTTTTAGCTAGTTTCATAGATATGTTGAATAGTATAGCCAGGCTTAGAGCTAAAGAAATAAAGTCACTTACCCAAGATATAGCTAAGAGCAGAGCCCCTAAGGGGGGAGGCCTATGTCAGAGCTTAGAAAAGATCAACTCCAGGCCATGAGGGGATAACTACCCAGGTGAAAGAGGGCGCCGCATAGTTTAAGGCAGAGTGCCGACCCCTGCAGTTTTGGTGAAAGAGGCCCATGTGGCTTTGGGGTTCCCCCTTTGGCTGTGTAGCCTAGAAGGCAAGAGAGACTTTGACTAGAACTTAGTACAAAAAAAAAAGACCTCTTGCCAGTGGACTGTGAGAGAATGCCACATAACTTTAGATTGGCCAAAGATCCTGCCTGATACAGCTGATAATGACAGCAGCCTGAGACACAGATGTGTGCTCTTTCCTGGTTTACAGTGCTCGAAGTTAGAACAGTACAAGTAAAAAGCAAAGACATGAAAATATTTTAAATTAAAAAAAAAAAGAAAAAAAACTTAGTTTCTGACTGCTCTTTTGCAATAATAAAACTAAAATTATAAATAATAACAAGAAAAAGAAAAAGAAACCTCATTGATACTCTAAATCTAATAAAAGGGGGGACTTGTTTATTCTTACAAAAATATATATTATGCTTAAACAAGCAACCAGTGCTGTTTAGCATAAAAAGAGAGAATGATATAGGAAACTTTAAAAAACCTCTGTTTAACCTTTATTTGCCCAGGCCCCAGGCGCCCTGGGGAAAATGATGGGGCTGTCTAGGATAAGTAAACAACAATGCATTAGCTAGGACTGAGATTAACACCCCTGCTTCTGTGTCCTTAGAGCCCTGGAACTGAATAATGGGAGCCTTTAACCTCTACCCCGTAAATAGAACTAACTTCCACATTCCACTTCTGTATCCCGCCTTGCCACGTAGACAAGAAGACCCTAATCTATAAAAACCCCAGGAATCCTTTGTTCATTGCTCAGAATTTGGAAATGATTCCTCTGAACCCATGCATGTAAAATAAACCTCGTACTCCAAAATCCCTCGGTGTTTAGTCACTTCATTTCCCACAACAATTCCGGTCTTGGCAGAGGCTTTTTGGTTATAGTGAAATAAGGTGACTCATGAAAAAGCTCAAAAATAGTTTAGGCTCTCAAAAAGTAGTCTTTTAAAATTAGTAAGTGCTCCATATTTGCATTAAAAAGTCTCAACGGTTCACAGCACGGTCGGACACCAAGGCTGGTTCCACGCCCACAAAGGGAGGAACCACAGGACTCCTTCTTAGCAGCGCCAGAAGAAAAAAAGTTGGAAGAAACTTTCTAATTTCCGGTGGACTAGGACCATAGAGGTCGCTCCACCACATTCCTAGAGCGACCGCGGTGGCGCGAGAGGCCAGCTAGGCCTTCACATCCGGTGACTCGGGGCTGGGACGCCCAGTGAGGCAGGGAGGGCGGTGGGCCGGCTGGGAATGGTGAGTAGCCCGAGGGGTGCAGCCGTGCAATTAGCAGCCGCACTGCGCAAGCCGACGGTAGCCGGACAGCCGACCCGGCTATTGGAGTGGCTACCTTGGCCTCGCCTTTCCGCGCCTCCGGAGGGCATCGGCACGGCACGGGAGGAGTAGGGGTTGGGGGGCCTCCAGAGGGCTGAAGCCGTAACGGGAGCCCAGCGGTTGGTGTCAGAGGCGGCGGACCCGGACCACGTGACTAGTGGCGCTGCGCATTTCCGTGCCAAAAACGTTGAATAGATAATTGGGTAGCGCAGGGCTGTTTTGAGGGATTTACAAATATTGACTGGTTTAAACTCAAAACCCCTTCCGGATGTAGCTGCTTTTTGGTCATTCTAATTTTATGTGTGAGAAACAGGCACATTCCGATTACCTGGGTTCCCACTACGGCTCACCAGTCCGAGTGCTGAACTTGGCATTGAAATGTGGCTGCACATCAGTTCTGCCATTGAGCTGGTAGGCCCCGGAGTCTGACTGCTAGGATTGAGATAGTCGCATAACGCAGCTGTGAGAATCGAATAGAATAGCATTGTCTGCCATACAAGACAATGTTCTTCATCTGTAGTGTTCTAGGTGAATAGGTAGTAGTCTCTGAGTTTTCCCACCAGTCTGACTTCCATAGTACTAGTGTGTGTGTGTGTGTTTTTTAATGTATAATTATTCTTTCTGCAGGTTTTTTAACACCATGAACTTAACAAATGTCTCCTTGTGATGGGTATTCTATAAATATTTTTTAACATTTTTTATTGATTATGCCATTACATTTGTTCTATTCCCCCCTCCATTCCCCTCCACCCTGCACGCCCCTCCCCCACTGTTCCCCCCCTTTAGTTCATGAATACCTGTCTCAAGTTCTTTAGATTCTATATTTCCCCTACTATTCTTACCCTCCCCCTATCTATTTTCTACTGTCTATGCTACTTATTTTCTGTACCTTCTCCCTCCATCTCCTCCCACTCCCCTGTTGCTAATCTTCCACATGATCTTCATTTCTATGGTTCACTTCTGATCTAGCTATCCTCTTAATTTGCTTTTGTTTTAGGTGTGGTTGTTGATAATTGTGAGTTTGCTGTCCTTTCACTGTTCATATTTTTTATCTTCTTTTTCTTAGGTAAGTCCCTTTAACATTTCATATAATAAGGGCTTGGTGATGATGAACTCCTTGAATTTGGTCTTATCTGAGAAGCACTTTATCTGTCCTTCCATTCTAAATGAGAGTTTTGCTGGGTAGAGCAATCTTGGTTGTAGGTCTTTGGTTTTTATGACTTGGAATACTTCTTTCCAGCCCCTTCTTGCCTGTAAGGTCTCTTTTGAGAAATCAGCAGACAGTCTGATGGGAACTCCTTTGTAGCTGACTGTCCCCTTATCTCTTGCTGCTTCTAGGATTCTCTCCTTCATTTTAATCTTGGCTAATGTAATGATGATGTGCCTTGGTGTGTTCCTTCTTGGGTCCAACTTCTTTGGGACTCTCTGAGCTTCCTGGATTTCCTGGAAGTCTATTTCCTTTGCCAGATTGGGGAAATTCTCCTTTATTATTTGTTCAAATAAGTTTTCTACTGGTGGCTGTGCCTTTCCCCCTTCTGGTACCCCTATAATTCGGATGTTGGAGCGTTTAAAGATGTCCTGGAGGTTCCTAAGCCTCTCCTCATTTTTTTGAATTCTTGTTTCTTCATTCTTTTCTATTTGGTCATTTTTTCCTTCCTTCTGGTCTACTCCCCTGATTTGAGCCCCAGTCTCTTTTCCATTACTATTGGTTTCCCGTGCATTACCATTCATTTCAGTTAGTTTAGCTTTCATATGTTTCTCTAATTTGTGACTAAAATCAATCAGTTCTGTGAGGATCCTGATAACCAGTGTTTTGAACTGTGCATCTGAAAGTTTGGCTATTTCTTCATCACTTAGATTTATCGGCTCTGTGGCTCTGAGGTGTTCTTGAGTCATTTTTGGTCAGTTCCTGCGGTAAGGTATGAAGAGGGGAGCCTTAGTTGTTTACCAGGACAGGGCGACCCAGGTCACTGGTTCGTGATGCTGTATGTGGGGGCGGGGTCAGAGAGGGAGCAATGGTGGTCCTCTCTGTTAGCCCAGTCCGTCCCACCACTCGCCCCGGCCTGTTTATCCAAGCGGAATTGTGCGAGCCTGCTGCCCTGCACTGTGCAGTTTCAATGCTCGCCTCTTCACTGGTTTATCTGCAAGCAAATGCGCGATCTACCGCAGACAGCCAGCCGCACCTCTTCCTCTTCCCAGTGTCCGCCCATAGCTAGCATGCACCTGTGATCTGCGCCTTTGGCTGCTTGCGCACCACCCGGTCGGGGATCTTTTTGGCCAACCCGCTCCGCTGCTGGCTTTGCCCCTCTTACCAGTTTAGCTGAACATTTTGTTTTCGAACTTTGTATTGTCGATTTTCTGTGTTGTTTGGTTGTGTTTATTGTTGTTAACAATTTGTTGTTTTTAGATTTGGTTGTGCGCGTACACAAGGTGTTTCCACCTACGCCTCCATCTTGGCGGAAGTCCCTAGTTTCTAAATATTTCTAAGGTTAAAGAATGAGTAGTGAAAGCGCTGTAGTTTTGTTTTCTATGAAGTTTGCTCTTCCTGATACTTACCATAATTGCAGCAGATATAATTATTAAGTATCCAGATAAATTCCTCAACACTATCAAGCGTGAAGTCTCAGGTATACAAGTAGATGAAGGAATGTTAGAACAGTCTCATTTGTGTTTTCAGTAATCTGCTGTCAAAATTTGTTTGCAGAGGCCCAGGGTAATTATTCCCATTTTTAAAGTCTATTTCCTGACATACGATGTGAAAATAGTTAGAATAATTTTATTACTTTTGCAGCCTAGCTCCTCTTACATTTCCACTTATTTCAAGTTTGTGGCCACTATTTTAAGTAACCTTATATATAAATAAATGAAATTAATTTTGAAATTTTGAATTTTTGCAGCATTTGGATATTTTTACAATTCCATTTCTATTTGTACATGTAAACTTTCTCCTCATCTTCCTTTTCTTGTGTTCTACTTGCCGCCCTTTTTCCTACTCAAATTCATTTCACTATCCTGTAAAAGTTCTTTAAAATTTTTTTCCTCTTTCAGAAAATATCTGGTTTCAAATTTCAAAGAACTGTCCTCTTTGATTATTCAAATCTAGAAAAAAATAATAGTAAAGCATCTCTTCATGGATATTTTTCTCAGCATTTGTTGAATGAACTCATAGAAACTAGTCCTTATAAAGTAGTTCCTACTTTCAAAAAATTTATGCTAAAAGTTAGAGCTAAGGTGTTAGTTATAGCTGTGCAAGTAGAATGAAACAAATAAGGATAAATGAATATTTAATAAAATAGTATGATTTGTCATTTTTTTAAAAATTTTGACTCCTTAATTAGTCACTAATGAGTTGAAGTTAACATGGGAGTAAATATTAAGACATTTATTTGGTAATATCAAGTTTAAACTCTGGAGTTATTAGAATTATTTTGTATTTTTCCCCAAAATTGTTTTTGTTTTTATATGTATTGAATACACTTTTAATTTAAAAATGAATGCAAATTTGATGGGTCTACAGAGGTATAAAGTTGACTTATTAACATATGTAATTTGTTTTTATTTTTTCGTCTACACCCAGAAAATTTGAGCTATATAGCTCTAGGAAGAGAAACTATAGTTGAGAAGAAGAGAATAGACTTTGTTAAGAGTACATTTGGCTCTCCACCATGCGATTAGGAAAACTTAAGGAAGGTATTTCTCGGAGCTCAAGCCAAGGAAAGACTTCTGAGAACCAGTGCAAAATAGGCCGGCAAGGGCACAAATGGGGAATGACTGTTCGGTTTGACTCAAGCTTGAGTAGACTACGAAGAAGCTTGGATGAGAAGCCGTATAAATGTACTGAATGTGAAAAAAGTTTCAGTCAGAGCTCAACTCTCTTTCAGCATCAGAAGATCCATACTGGAAAGAAATCCCATAAATGTGCTGATTGTGGGAAAAGTTTCTTTCAGAGTTCTAATCTCATTCAGCATCGTCGGATCCATACTGGGGAAAAGCCCTATAAATGTGATGAGTGTGGAGAAAGGTTTAAACAGAGCTCAAACCTCATTCAACACCAGAGAATTCATACTGGAGAAAAACCCTATCAGTGTGATGAATGTGGCCGATGTTTCAGCCAGAGTTCCCACCTTATTCAGCACCAGAGAACCCATACAGGGGAGAAGCCCTACCAGTGCAGCGAATGTGGCAAATGCTTCAGCCAGAGCTCTCATCTTAGGCAGCACATGAAGGTACACAAAGAAAAGAAGCCTGGCAAAACTCCAGGCAAAAATAGTAGGTCAAAAACTCACCTAGTATTATCTTGGAAAGCAGGTACAAGAAAGAAGTCAGTGACTGGTATTCGCTAAGTAAGAGACAGTGTTTCAGCCCTGTTGAAGAGAAAAAGAATCTCTCTTCTAGGACTAGAGATCCTTTCTAATAGAGCACTTAAATACTGTATCCTTTCCTAGCATGGAAACACTGGGAGTTTGATGACATTGGGTGGGGTGGAAAGAAATTACATGAGTCAAACTGTCCTCTCATTTCTTTTATGTAACCTGGAGTACAAAGAACTGAAAATATGTTTTGAGAGTTTATAAGACCCTTGACCTCACTCGAAAGTGCTCTCTGCATAATTTTGACAAAAACAATCATGTTTTTATGACCTGTAAAAATGTAGGAATTTCAGTGAGTACTCAGTTTTAAGACTTTCTGTTGGAGGAGTAATTAAAAGGGAAAAGAAGTTAATCCCATTGGTTTTGAAGTTTCATAATAGATGAGGAGATTTTATTATTATAAATTTTTGTAATATATTAATCATCAGGTTGTAAGTGTGATTTAATATTTACTATATTAAAATATATTCATGTTCACAGATTCTTAATTAACAAGGCCCATCACTCTACATTAACTTTCTTTTGTTTCTTTCCTTCTTATAGACAGTTGTTAAAGGAATAGAATTTCTCTATTTTTCTCCACATTCTTAGTAGGAGATACACTAGAACTCAAAGTGAAAACATAGATGACAAGTCTCATTCTTGCTAACACTGTTCTTTGAGATGGTTTTACACTGTGTTTTCCGAAGTTGGGATGGATTTATATTGATATATCCCTATGCCTTTTGACTTCCTTGGGCATTTTTGTGTGCTCTGACAAACTGAGGTAGCATTTTAGACCTCCAAGAATAAATAATTAAACCATATTTTACCAAAGCAATCTCAACTTGCTACTTAAAAAACTCTGCAATTCACACACCTTCCTGCTTTCCTTTCCCTTTTGAAAACTTTAAGTATACCTAAACAAATGTTTGTCAACAGCAAAAGTTATTTAATGTGAATGTCAGTGCATTGTTTAATGTGTAGATTTTGAAATCTGAGTTAAACTTTTCTGAGTTATATGAATTATTTACAGCACAGGTAGCAAAAACAAGGCCTATGGGCCAAATCCGACCCTCCACCTTGTTTCTACCCAGCAGCAGTGCCGAGCTCTCACTTAACTGTTAAGAAGTAGTTACATTTATACAGTCCTAAAATTACATTTGGCCCTTTGAAAGCAACCTTGAGGCTGATGTGGCCCCTGGTGAAAATGAGTTTGACACCCCTGATTTACCGTCTAGCAAACATATTTCTCAGCTATCACCAGAACAGTGCTATGTATCAGACATTCTGATCAGCAGCCTTCAGCTCAGATTCTAGTTCTATTGAATGCTAACATTCTATTTTTTTGCAACTTTTATAATAATGACAGTTGCTGGTGTACACATGAGTTATTCATAAAAATAAATGGAGTTATACTTTGCATACTGTACCACCTTCTGTTTATTTTTATTCTGGGAAATTGTTTTAACCATTTAGGCAACATCTAAAATCACAGCTTTGGAAGAGTCACTTGTTTTGGCTGGTTTTAATTTTCTCAGAGTTGAACTTTTCCTGCTTCCTGGCCTTGTCCTTAGGGCAGGGTCATAGAACTTGGCCTTGTTGGCAGCAGTTTCATCTAGTAGGATATCCATTAAGTGTTTTGTATGACTTAAATGCTGTTATCTTTTACAGAAAACTTGATCTCGGACTGCTTAGCAAGTGTCCTATTAATCACAGCCAAGTCACTTTGAAGCAGTGACTATGAAGGTGTGGCTCTGGGACTCTTTTGAGGATCTACCGTCAGTGATATTTGTAGCAGTTTTATGTCTGAGATAACTTCTGACTGGGACTAATACCACCTTCTTAAATAAATGAGTTTTGCAATTTTGACATCAGTCACAGGGTCCTGCTACAGGGTCCTATATATCGTTAGATTTTATAGTTTACATTTTTATCCTGAATAGAGTTTTTCTCTGTTCTCCAAAAAAAATGAAGCAAATACTTTCAGGTTTTGATGTATTCCCAGTTGACAGTGCTGTGCGTTTCTTTTTAGAGTCATAGAACTAGGAGCAAATAGGTCAGTACACTTGTAGCTTTTTGGTGGTATCAACATGTGGCACCGTAGCCTCACACTCCTTTTAGGAGTGTAAGGGGAGAAAAACAATTACAGCTGCTCTAAATTAATGAATGAATGGAAATGTTCCACTACTAGAAATTGAGTAATGGTAGAATGTGAGTCATAAGCACTGCTGCTTTGAGTATACCCTGTATGAAAATATACTGCCCCTTAATGTTGTGCTGAATTTCTACCACAACTCAGGTTTACCAAGCTGAATTCCTTTATTCTTCTGTCTCCTTATACAATCTCTGGATGTTTTATTGTGTGTGGTGGTTGGGGGGTGGGAGCTCCAACATCATTACGCTGCTAGAATTTCTTCTGTCCTACACCAATGAGTAAGGTGGGTTAAAAATCCTTGGCTTCCATATTCTTTTACTCATTCAATCATCTAATAAGTGTGGTAGAAATAAAACTGATCAAGACAGTTTAAAGGAGTTTAGGTTAAGTGGGTAATTAAGTAGAGGAATTGGAAAACTATGTAAATAAGTAAAGCAAACAGTACTATGAGAGCACATAATAGGGACCTCTGAACTGATTCTCAATTTCAGCATGCATTAGAATCATGTGGAGGGCTCCTTAAAATATTAATTTCTGGGCCCACTCCCAGAATTGCTAATTTACATCTGGGCTGTTTCTAACAAGCTCCCAGGTGATGGTGATAATGCTACTGTAGCACACCCTCTGAGAACCACTGCTATAACTCATTACTGAGAGTAGTGATGTGCTTATATGAAATTGTATCCAAGCCCTGGCCGGTGTAGCTCAGTGGACTGAGCGCGGGCCTGCGAACCACACGATCGCGGTTCGATTCCCAGTCAGGGCACATGCCTGGGTTGCAGGCCGGTTCCCTGCAGGCCAGTTCCCAGCAGGGGACGCACAAAAAGGCAACCATACATTGATGTTTCTCTCCCTCTCTCCTTCCCCCCCTTCCCCTCTAAAGATAAATAAATAATAAAATATTTAAAAAAAAAAAAAGAAATTGTATCCAAGATACTTACATAATACTAATTTTTGATGAGGGAAGGCAGGATTTAATGATAAAGACTGGGTGCTGGTTTCAACCTACTTGGGTTTATATCTTGCCTACCTAGCAACTGGGCAATTTGAATTTTTGTTCTTGAGTAAATTGGGTAAGATACCTATGGTTGAGTTGTGGAGTGAATTACATAACAATGCAGGTAGAGGGGCTTAGCATAGAGTCTGGAACATTGTTTAGAATTTATTTACTAGCTTAGGTCATCAGAGGCAGAGAAGCTATTGAATCAAATCTGAAATTGTTATTAGCAAAAGTACTACCCATAAATTTAAAGGTGAGATTTTTGTTGGTTTGTTTTTGCTGAGTCAGGATTTTTAGAGAGAAAGGGATACCTTAAAAGGGCAAGAACAATCTAATAAGTCTCTAAAAGAGTAAGAACCTGGGTGAATTTTTTGACAGGTAATAGGAGTACCTGTTAAAAATAGAAGTACATAGCCACAAACAGTATTTATTAACCATGTTAGGGAGGTAATTTCATTTTGTTGAGGAAGTATCTGTTGAGCACTGCCATGTATATAAAAAACTGATAGAAAAGGTAAATTAGATTAAAAGTAACACTAAAATGTTATGAGTACACAGTGTGATTGCCTTTCAAATTGGAATAACTTACATCTGGTACAGAAAAGAAGGAAGGGATCTTTAAAGGGATGATATTTTACCTGGGTTGCGGATTCTGTCCATAGTTCGAGCATGTACAGAAAATAACTGATCTCGCTCATTTGCTTGCTTGCTCTCTCAAATCAATAAATATATCCTCAGGTGAGGATTAAGCATTATAAAAATTTTAAAGGGATAATATTTATTTAACACTAGATTAGAGAATACAAACCCAAAAAGCTGGAGAGGCCAGGCAGCTAATGCAAATGCGTGAGTGAAACGAGTGTTGTAAGATGGAATGCACCTGCCCATTTAAAATGATAATCTGACTCCGTTTCAGCCTTTCCCCACCCCCCCATCCAGAGATTCAGATCTGGGTATGCCAGTTCTTGATTATTCAAGAGAAATGAGAAATCCAGATTTTAAAAGTCGTAACCGTTTCTGTCAGCTTGCCACACCTGGACTACATTTTTAAGGATGTAAAGGCTCTGTGTGTAACTATGTGGAGGAGGGTAGAAGGGGTAGGGGTGGTGGGCAGCAGGGAGGAAGAAGGGGAGGGGCAGAAGTATATGATGCAGTGGAAGCGGGAAAGCACAGAATCTCATCTCAGAGAACAGCTGCACGTAACTATTTTATTGGCATTCCTGTTCATCTGAGTGTTGTGGGAAATGAGGCTGAAATGGGCCTCCAGGAGAGACTTAAATACCAGTCTTTAAAGTGAAACAGATTGGATGCATACAAGTTTTTAGAGCATAGGTTAAAAGTTGATGATCCAGTGGGAAATAACTCTATTGCCAAAAGAAAAGCTACCACAGAATAGACCTACTTGGCTAATTAGACCTACAGGGTTTCATCTCCTGCCTTGAAGCTCAAATCTTACCTCCTTTCATTCCCTGCCTCTCACTGAATATCAACAACTCCAAACTAGTTCTATAATTTTGCTTATTTGGCTTTGACCTATATTCTGAAGTAGGCTTCCAAGAAGTTGGCCTTGAACCTTCCTTAGATGTTCTTCCTTTTAGCTGAATTGTAATGATCATGTTTCAGTCTCTTATTCTCCCTTTCTCCTACTAGAATGTGAGCTCTTGGCTTATAGTAGTCATTCAGTTGAAAGTTTTAATGGAGAAATACCAAGAGGGAAGAAGTACCTAAAGAAGGTTAGAAAAAGAGGTAAGTAGTTCTAGAAAGTTCCCAGGCTGGCTGTCAACTACCATACCTACCTCGCAGGAGAGTTCCACCTAGAACTTTTTGTCCCCCATTTGCCACCCTTATCCCTCTTCAATATTTTCTATTCTCTTGGAGATTCTTGCTCATTGAATAATTTATTATTTGGCCTTGCATGTGGCACATATTTGTTGAATGAAATAATTAATGAAAGAACAAGTGTATAAAATGGCACCAAACTTTGAGGAATGAGATTCACATGGTCTGAAAGGACCTGAAAAGCCAATTCCCTCACTTTCCCCAGTAAACTGGATGATAATTTTTTAATGACCCAGATTCTTTTATGCTCTATGAATTCTAAAATACCTACACATAGAGTGTATATAATTTTAGAAAACGAATGTCATTTCCAACTTTTTTTAATTTTTATTTTATTGATTATGCCATTACAGTTGTTATATTCCCCCCTTCATTCCCCTCCACTCTGCACCGCCCACCCCTACCATTCCCCCCCTTTAGTTTATGACCATGTGTCTCAAGTTCT